AATCAATCTGTCTTAGACAATCAATGAAAACCTGAAAGCACTGGGCGGCCTCTTTGTCCTAGTACGGGACACTTCTGCAGTGTGCGTCCACATAATTATTTTCATGAACTCACTAGTAGCTGGGATCGAGAGGCGATTTACAGAGTTCTAGTGAGGAGCCGTGACCAACAGAGTTCAGCTGTGTCGCGTGTGAGGCAGTTGCTCACTGGAGACGATGGAAGATGTTCGCGCAATACCGTGGATTGTTTGGAGTTAGACATTAACACCCATGGATCCCTGCTCAATGGTCTGAGGGTTAAGCGTGTAGCGTGTTGCCGAGTAGCGTTTGACTATGAACACCACTACAAGAAGACTACGTGCCGGTTAAGTAACGAAATCCCCCGTAAATCAAATGTCAGAAGGCAGTTGATGGCTGTAGTCGAGATGTATTTGTTGGCGATCTCGTGGATATCGAAAGGATACCGAGATCGTGCCAAAGGAGTACAAGCGTGGTTACCGAGCGTAACCGAACCCGTGCAAGGTCACAATCGAAAAATAATGAAGAGGTAATACGGCTGTCTTTAGCACAGTTAAACAAACGAGCACAATAAAACAATCACTAGTACAATTGGTTAGAATAACAAACGTTTCAAATAAATCAATCGCGTTCTCTTGGTAAAAGTAGGTCACTACAAGCGTTCACGCGCGAGACTGAGGGTATCAGATCCGAGTTCCGCGTGCAGAATCGCGGATGCGCACTTCTATGTAGTCTCATACTTGAACGAGACGACCTTCCAGTGCGGTCTAATACCGGTCGGCCCATGATCTCAATTAAAACTACTAATATGCCGTCAACAGCACATCGCCCTCATGAGTGCAGAAGCACAAAGACTTAAGGGCAATAACAAGTCATGACCTAAAAACAAATGCTCATTCCAACGCAGCAGCTTCGAAAGATTCTTGAGTGTCTCGATCACTTCGCCAAGCATTCATATGGTAAGGCGAAATGTTGCGGGTTTTATATCCCGTCTATGTAAGAGTACTGTGTTCAAGCAGCCAGTCCATGCCTCATAAAGGATATTAACAAACTCGAGTGTACGTATCGTGTAAAAACAAAGTTGGTGAAGAGTCTCTTTAGGCTACTTCAAGAAGAGCGCTCATAACGCCTAAACTTTTTCCTTTGTTGTATCGTAGGTCGCGAAGTGACCTTATATCAGCACTCCATATTTTTAATAACGATTTAGGTATAAAGCAAAAACTAACACAGGTCCAAAGACCCACCATCCTTACTACTGTGGACTATTACTCTAACTGCTGAGAAAATACATTTCGAATGAATTTTGCGCTCGTAACCCTGAAATGCAATTTTGACCAGTTTGACTGAAGAACTTCCAACTTAATCTTCAACAGTTTTATTTGACTCCATTTAGGGTATGGAAGTGCAGTATTTTCTCTCTTAGTTCAAAAGCATAAAAACACACTGAAATGTATCCAACAGTGGGCCATGAAATCAGTTCGGGGACTCAAATTCAATGCTCACTAGGGGGCCTCCAATCACTTAACCTTTATTCATCAGAGTATAGACATCTTGGAGGTGACTTTCTAATGACCTACAGCATCCTAAGCACTTTTGTGCATCCTTCTTAATACTTACTTAACCTCAGCCTCAATAAACCTTGGGGGTAACACCCAGAGACGGAAAACAATATAGCAGAAAAAACTAGACACACCTTCTACTCCTCAAGAGTAGTCAAGTGCTGGAATTAACTGATGAACGAGCTAGTCCAGATGACTCTCAGGAAACCATTAAGAGAAAGCTTGACATATTCAGAAGGACAAAGGACAGTATCTCACTAAAATTTACTAATAATTCGATTTTTATCGTTAAGTATACCTATGGGCCTATCTGAGGACATCGGTGATACACTGCTAATAAATATGGAAGCCCGTTAAGCAGAAGATTCTTCTATTTCGTCTAGAACCATTTGAACCATTTAAAGATTTCAAATACGTAACAATACTACATTTGCACTCTGGCGTTATTATGAACCTTAATGGTTCGGTTACCTAGTTGCATTGTTCGTCCAAGTATGTACACACTTTGTATTATGGTCAGTTCACTGTAAGTATTCACAAAATTCTCCTAGAAATACGTAGATTACCATGAATAAGTCAGAAAAGTATTTATCTTCAGTGGTCTACCTAATTAACCAAGGGAAATATCTATTTTAGCCACTATAGTGTCTATCTCTATGCTTATAAGTATAGTGCTTCGTAGATTAATTAATTCATCTCACGTGAAACGTGACGTACGTCCGATACATCGACAGAAAGTGCTTGTAATGGTTTTTTTGGTGGTGAATCCCAATAAACAATGCTCCATGTATAATTAATTTGGTCTTAGTTTTCGAAGATATTGAGATTATTCTATGTAATAACTACATGAAATAAATCAAGGAAAAACAGGTCTGTATCAGCGCTCACAATTCATGGTACCATAAGGAACCAATCCTATCTCAAACGTACCTAAAGATGCTAACATCCTTGTGTTGGCGGAAAACTACAGTAATTTTGGACTCTATATCACATAACACTGAATAAAGCTACTTATAATGTTAAAATAATCTCCAGACGTAGGCCTATGTTTTCTAGACGATTTAATCTCGGTCTGTAAAATTTTATTACTAGCTGTACTCGAGGACAAATCAAAGCTCATGCAGTTAACTTGGACCTTTTCAGAGTAGGGGCTAAAGCTGCTCAAACTTTTGACGGTCAGATTCCTCTTACTCGAATAATTTCTGCATTTTGTTGACTCGAATCATCATACTATATGAGGAACGTTTCATCGTCCGTGAAAACATGGTTAGTCCTCACTGTCTCACTAAATGATAACAATCTCCATATTCTACTAAGAACTTGTAGCACTTCTTCGCTTTTTTGTATTTGTCCTCATTGTGCTTTATTGCGGTTATTTGATTTTACGATCATTACATCACACAATTTAGCAGTCGAAGTATAATTGAATTGACTAACTCACGTGTTAAAATAAGAATGTTAGGCATTAGGAGATATTCTAATTGTCAACATTTACATGAAAGTTCACTGTATTTGATTTATTCCAAAACATTCATTTTTTCTGTCTTAGGTTAATTTCCTAGGCGTAATCAGAAATACTGTTGTCACTTGGTCTCTGTGTCTTCTCAACATTCCCCTTACCAATTCGTTTTTTGGACGCATTTTCCTGTATTCATATGGAGAAGGAACATCGCGACGTCATTAGGAAGCTGCGTGTTCTTCTTGTAAAAAATATTTCCAACCTTGAAGAAATCCTCGATATACTGGAATCCGCACTAATTATTACTGAAAATCAACGGCACTCAATACTCTCTGGAACAACATTAGCTGAAAAGATACGTAGATTCTTAGATATTATAGTCAGATGTGGCCCATCAGCATATGACAAGTTTAAGCAAGCTCTTCTAGAAACCAACCAAAAGAGTATATATGATCGTTTGAACGAAACAGAGGAACTAAAAGTCCTAGCTGGTCATGGTATATCATCAGAACGCTTGTCTGATACAAGAGATGAATCCATTATGATCCCAGATAGAGTTAGCTCACATCCGTTGACACCCTACACTGTAACTTCGTTCCCGCGTGGTTACGTTCTCATAATAAATATAGAAGATTACAGTTGTGAATCCGGAGTACCTAATCGTCATGGTTCGTCACACGATGCATCTAAACTCCAAATTCTATTTGAGGACTTTATGTATAGTGTTGCTGTCATTAAAAATCTAGAGGGTGAAAAGCTGAAAAAAGTAGTGCGAGAATTCGCTTGCAAACCAGAGCATAGTAACGTACATGCGGCTGTCCTTATTATTTTAGCACATGGGTTAGAACATCATATTATAGCAAGTGACGGCACCCATGTAAGCATTGACGAACTTGTTAGTTGTTTTACTAACAAAAAATGCCCTCTTCTAGCTGGAAAACCTAAACTCATACTTATACAAGCCTGTAGAGGTGAAGAACGTAATCATAATGCTCTTGTAAAGCGTGATTTTCTAGACTCTCTACCATCAAACTTTTGTGAAGTTTCATTAGATCCCAGCTCTTGGCTGTCGCTGCCACATATGAGTGACTGTGTAATTGTGTATTCTACCTTACCTGGATTTGTATCTTGGCGGTCTGAAATAGAGGGGAGTTGGTATGTAAAGGTTTTTGTCGAGGTAACGAGGTTGCATGGGCACAGGCTTCACATTCTTGAACTGTTGACAGAAGTCAACAATAGGCTTGTGTCAGAGGCGTCAAACTATGGCATCAAACAAATATCACAACCAGTAACAACGCTAACTAAGCCTTACTATTTGTCCACTCTGAACACTTGAAAAATTTATTGTATCCAGAAATATAGTAATCTACTTTCATCCCATTGCTACTAGCTTCATTCTCTACGGAACTTGTGGTATAAGATCTTACTTTGATTGTAATTAGGCGTATCAATGCATGGGCATTCGAAATATTTCTTAATAAATAAAGCTCTCCTCCTAGCATATTTCGTATCTACCCATTTTCGCTTATGTTGGAGCGTCGTGAAAGCGAGTATGCTCAATAGTTTACGGTACGATCCATCAGAACAGCTAGATATGCTGCTTACAACTCAGCATAACATAACTAGGTGGTTTGTCGGTCCGTGTTTGCGAGAGACGGTTAGTATGCTGCTCAAATGCTTTCGCCGATGTGAAATTACCTTACACGCATATATATAAGCCCATACGCAAACTACATGGCTCGTAATTCTTTAATAGTGTGTAAACACGTAATTTCGACTTTCTGTTACGAACAGGTCCTGGGACTTGATTTACCTATCTCCAAACGACATGAGTGAACATATTTCGTTTTGATAATATTCTTAAATCTTGTTTATGACAGAACTGCTTTCGTCTGTATTTTTGCGCAGTCTAAAGAGGTACACTTTACGACAACAGTAGACAAAATCCCGAAAAGTATGAAAGCTCATCGCAATTATCTTTTTATATCACTCAGGAGAAATTACAAAGAAAATCTGGAAGTAACTATATACAATAACCTTGTGAGAAGTAATGTTTGAAAAAGAAATTTACAAAATCAAAAGATTAAGTCAGTACTGAGCACGGGTCATCAACTCAGCAAATGTAACAGGAAGCCAGCCACCATCACTGGGATTGTACACATAACTGACGTTGCGGTCGAAAAACACTTGTAATGATTCCAGTCTGTATACTTGTTGACCTTCGAACATCCTGTTTGAAATAGGATGGAATAAGAAGCCGCGCTGCGCTGCTACTTGTTCAACTTGTTTACGTAGTGTTGTCGGAGGAGGAGCAACCAAAGGTGTTGATGATCCAAAAGCTGGCGGAAGTACGCCTGATGAGCCAGCAGGATACCTTGACACATCTGACTGACCTTGCTTTGAGACCTGAGGTTCCTAAATAGAGTGCGGATTCCCAGAAGTACACAAGACTTAAAGCAAGTTAGAAGTTTATCTTAAGTCTACAAATAATATATTTTTTCCAGACTAGACTACTACCATTATCTGGTACTCTTGGGAGATGTCAGCAGTATTGTTTAGCAAAATGACTTAGCAAACAGTAATTACTTTGTAAGTTACGTACTCTTAGATTACGTGTTTCCTGACATTTAGGAAATGCGTACGTATAATTAGAAGTTACATATTTGCATCGCAGAAAGCCTCGTTACGTAATCATTGTGGATGTAATTGATACATTTTGCGATCTTATAATTGATTTAAAATTATGTCAGGAGTGAGAGATCCATGGTTAGATTAAATGAACTATTTTACTTGACAAACAAAATTTATCTAAATTTTTGAAAGCCATTAGAGTTTAGGTAATGGTATTTTGAGTTTCCCTACTTTTTAATGGAATTCTTGCATCGCATATCCACCTGAACTTTGTGAATATACAATTAAGAAGAACTTATGGTTAAGAAGCCACCTAAGTAACTCAACAAACAGTATTTAAAATGACATCTCAAAGAATCCAAACCCACAATAACTTACTTGAGGCGGTAACCCTCTCATTGAACGTTCCATCATTGCCAAAGCTTTTGTCAAAGCATCTTTGACACTTGCATATTCCATACACTCAGGAGGTAACTGACCTTTCCAACCAGCATACCAACGGCCAACTTCTTGATAAACTTGACCGGCAGCAGTGTGGTCTCCACGTTGCCTAGCTTCTACCCCCTGATTCAGCCAACTTGAAAGGACTGACAGCCAACGTGACCAGAAATGATGTTCAAGTAGGTTTACAAGTACAGCCGGACCAATCAAGTCTGCCCAACGCATCACCCAATTCCACGGATCCATGTTTTGTTTAGCGGGATTAAGCTAAATATTAGAATTTTTCGAAAAAAATACTGCATAGAAACTCGACATCAGAGGTATGATCATAAATAAATACCTAACATATTAGTCCCTAAACTGTATATTATGTGAAAACCCCCTAGGATTTAGTTGAGAGGTGCAACAACAGTAATAATTAAAATGTCAGTAAAAAAGGTATTGTCAGTCCATTTGTAAGTTTTAGCTTCCAATAAACTGTTTTGTTGTCAGTATTTTCGAAATTATGTGTAGGACTACATTCTATCATAACATAAAATGTACTAGACTTGTATACACTTGCCAGACTGAGCAGGATTTATTTGTAGCTTAGTATACACGCAGTGTTGATAATTTATTCATATTACTGCGTGTCCGAGATATTTTTATCGTGTCCAAGTAGACGACATCTGATTATCATAGGATTTCCTTTTCGTATGTTTCAATCACATACTAAGAAAGGGTGTCAAACGAAGCATGTGTTTAGTTCCTAACGATAATTAATACGTAAAATGGAGTTATGTATGCAGAAACCTCAGCAATTGAAGTTAAACAGTCACAAATATTTTATCAGTAATCTTCAGAGAAATTCATGCCATATTTGGTACACAAAATATGGTATATTCAAGCACCAGAAATTCATGCGCCACATAAATAGGGGATAAAGTTCATATAGGAAAGTGAACAAGAATATAATAAGAGATATAATTCAGTTAGGAATACAACCAAGAGATTCCCAGTAAACAAAGTTCGTCTTTTATTCAGATCCTCATAAATAATGTTATTCCGAATATCACATATTTGACGATCATAATTTATGAGTGTAAGCGTTCGTTTAGATTTTGGTGAAGGTTTATGTAAACTAAAACATACTGTTATAAAAAACGATAATAAATACTTAAGACATTAAACTAAAGGACAACACTTATTTTAAAAGCTGATAATAGATTATTTGCACAACAAAGGAATTATAAAGAGAGTAGTCAACCTATTACTTACAATAAAATGAGAAGTATACCACCGCACTGGGTTTATTAAGAGCCAACTAAGAAAAAGATTCTGTGAATGCATTGACCAGTTAACAGGTGATATTTAGCGATCAAATTAAAAAGCTTGTTAAGGCCAAACTATTGTAAATAAACGAGTAAAAACTAACTTGAAACTGTTGCAACGCTAAAGCAAGTTTCGGCACCACATGGCGACTTAAGAAAGCTGCCATGGACGTGACCGGGAAAATGGTTCGCCAAGGCATTAGGACTGAGCGGGCAGATGCATCACTAGGATGCCAGTTGGTAAGGCAACTTCCTAACTTCTGGAGAACCATATCATGCAAACACGCGAGACGTTCAACTCCTCCAAACCAAGGTAGCCAGGGATGCAACCAAGTGTGAACAGGTACTGTATCAGTTAACGGATTCCATGAGGAAACAGCATCCTAAAAGTTGGACGTGTTTAGAAATGGCATAGTAAGAAGGAATTACGGAATCATTCGATAAGTTAGTAAGTGATATTGTGTCACTACCTTGTCTTAAAAAAAATAAGACTCACGATTTACAAGTCAAGCGCTTTAATAAATACCACATACAATACAAAAGTACACTCAACATTTACCTTAGCTGTGAATCAAACATGCACTAATATATGAAGTTTAGCGTTAACCGAATTAAATTAGTCAAAACTTCTAACCAAGTTAACGAAGATGATTGTGACATTGGTATCTGCTGAATAAATTTGTATGCATATCTGTAGTTTTCCGGAGAAAATGTAAAAACCAACAACTACAGATCTTGGTTGACAGAAACACCAGGAGTACTGAATGCATTCTTTTACAAAATATTGAGTCTTGAAGTTCTATGATACCTGGGTTTGTTTTGTTAAAGTCTACTCCTTCTATAACGTTGTAATGTGAATTACCCAGGAATTTCGAAGTTGAGTAGGTAAACTATGTAATTATATCAAGTAGTAAAACTAAGATGGAAAGGATCGTTTTTAGACAAAAGTAAAATTAAGACCAAGACAGACTGATTCTTTAAAATCTCTCTATTTAAATAAAGTTTTACTTTATGGAATCAATACACGTCATAAATTTATAGTGTGATAACTTGGATCCACTGCGCATATGCTCACGACTGATTAAATATAAAATATAGCAATATACAAATAACCGCAAACTGAAAGTGGCCTTTGGATATCTTTTATTTTAGGCTACGGATAAGCAGTTCACTGAAAATAAGGTAAAATAACTAATTAAAACTAAACAGCAAGTATTAAATACTTATGACGATTGTAGTAAATGTGCAATATCAACGAACAATGGCAGATGAAGCTATCGAAATCTAAATTCAACGAACCTGTAATTTTGGAAGAATCAGTTGGTCGAGTATTTTGCGCTGCAACATATCATCCGGTAACAAAGGTTGCCAGGCTTCGAGAACCTCCAAGAGAGGTTCGCAGTCTCGAGGATTCCATTCGTTAACGATAGTGCGGCGTATGGCGCTCAACCAGCTTGTTTCAAGTATAACATCGAATGCGCAAGAATTTTGAAAGAAATCCCTCCAGTGTCCCAACAAATCGAGACAAAATGTAGGTTCCTAATTTGGGTACGTTAAAAGAATTAGTAATAAGGACCCACAAGACGACCGTTATACTCATTCAACGCACGAAAAACACTAGGAAAATCAAACCACAAAATAGATAAGATTATTTCTTAAATTTATTTGTGGCGCACTAACATTGTGTTGTATTGAATATTTTAAAACGCAAATAAATATATGTAACAGTGAGTGGTCATAGATATGCGTGATTCACATGTTTCATGAGCAATAAGTTGTTAAACTTTACTCGATAAACATTAAACGAGATTGTTATATCCGAGTGGAGATTAAATTACAGGTAACTTCCGAGGACTATTCATGGACTAATATCCTATAAATATTCTTATTGTATAACTATTCAACAATTACATTATGTATATTTATACCCCTCTTATGACAAGGTTTATTTTGGCCTATAATTTATTATTGTATGATTTACGGTTCTTAAGTTATGTTCAGTTTATTAACTACTGCCTCCCACATTCACAGCCACTTTTTGGGCTTATTTGTGTACAAATATTATTTCCTATTTTATGGTACGTTGCGGTCTGTGTGATTGATATATAAACCAAGTATGCCTGAAATAAACGATCTGCTCTGATTCGGAAGCTGGTATCTTGTTCTGGACTCAAGTGGAAGGGCTCGTAGGACATAGGACCAATAAGGACGCTAAACTGCCCACACCGGTTGAACGTCATTGGTTGGCCTAGTGTGAAGATTCGTATAAGTCGTATTCGGATTGGTAGATAAATCGCGTGATAGAAAAACCAGACATTCAAGGTCATAACAGAGATCATCTACACAGAGCCTGTGATAGATACGCGTTGCCAAACCTGATAAGCACGAGATGAAAATAACAAAAGAGATTGAAATAATGTAGTAGTAATGACAAAAAGTAAAACCTTGGGAATATGATTTACAAGGAAAGAGTAGGAAGTTATGTATGAATGGATATTGAAATTCAAGGTCGAGAGAATGAAGCGTGAATATATCGGTGCCAGTATGTTATAACTTGTCGCTTTGTGCCCCTACCAACATATAACTTAATGATTCCACCAATTAAATGACAGTGATTTATCGACCGGACCAATGACGCGTAAACCCGTACGAGCAGCCTAGAGTCCTTATCCGTCCTTCTTACTGCCTAGCCCTGCCTGTTGAGTCCAGAACACCAATCTCAGCCTATGTGATATGAATCATGTATTTCAAGCATACTGGGTTAATAATAAACCAAACAGACCACATCGTACCATAAAAACAGAAATGTTTGCTCCCATTAGGGCTTGGTCAAGCATATACTTCAGTAAGTTGTAGCCTTCTATCGAGCTTCTCTAATGGCTGACAGCGATATGATCTAGTTGTGTACATCGTTGTTTTGATGTTGAGGCACGCTAAACTAGACAGTGTTGTTATTGCTAGTAATAACCGGTCATCTTAGGCTGACATCTCAACATTTTTCAGTTCGACCTGGTTTACAGACTTAGACGTTAAACCTGCCTGGTACTATTACTTCTGACTTTCTAAGGGTCGTAATTATCCTGTAATACTTTTTTTACTCCATCTGGGCTGCAATTAGTGGAGGTGTAGGCAGAAACAATAAAGAGGGAACGGTATGTCTTTATATCTCCGAATTCTTATTGTACCATTGAGACCAGCAGCATATAAACGACTTTTGATAGGAATCTGGTCAAGAAGTCCCTATCTAGCTTTCAGGCTAGGTGACGTCAAGTGGGAAACCATGTTAGAACGCTATATGTGTATCTCGGAAACAGTATATACTGATATCAAGAGATTCCAGGGTCTTAGTTAATGATGCCTGTTGCTCGATTCGACATGCGGTCCGGATAGTGAAAGCTACAAACATGTAGTTCGGAGAGCAGTTTCAGGGGACTTGGGTTGGCATTTTGTGAACTAGAATTATTAGCGTTGGGACATACATTGAAGCAGTTAAAGGTAGATGAGGGTCAATATTGAGAGTAGAAGTAATGTTTAGTGATGACTTTAAAAGGGCAGCATCTCTGAAGTTTCTGGTTCCCTTAGAGAAACAGCTTACTGTCGTCACATCTTTTCAGTCAGCAGCATTATTTCGCCCTCGGACCTTAATTTGCTGCTTTAAGTCTTACTGTTCCCCAAACGACCTGTTGGCACAATAGGGCCTAAAGGAATAAATGTTCCAGCTAATACACCTCGGTTGGATCTAAGAAACATCCTTAATTTCAGCTACAATTATTATCCATCAACACTAAAACTGCCGGATTAATGAGTTTCAGCAGGAAATTGTATCAATCTGGTATAAATTAGATTCGCATTTAGGTTAAAAGTCAAGTAGGTTGACAAGTAACCAGTAAATAAACAAACAGTCAGTATCAATTGGACACTAGTAATGTGTATACTAAGGAGAAAGTTTAGAATTTTGAGGAAGTAAATATTTAATAATACGGAATAGACTAGATGAAAATCTTCCCATATGTAATAAATTCTATTCATTAAAATTTCATTCAAACCATTTTTAAACTGATTATTGCAATGGCTCAGCAAGACATATATGCGTAAAGATGAACTAATAAGGTCTTATTGATAAAAGTTTTGCATTGACAACACTGAGCAGAATATCGAAAGCAAAGACACATTACCTACCTTTAGAGGATCCCATCTAGCAAGTGAATTATCCAACATTGGGCGAGCGATCGATGCCATGAGAACAGGCATTTCTACTAGGTTAGCACATTCCTCACGTATAAGTGATACCCAAGATGAAATAGCTTCAGATGTTAAGTTCGTATCACAGCCTGAATGAAACGTAACTTCATCTTCAAACTTCTTTATTAAAAATAAAGCTTTCTTGAGGTGATTCACTTCAGATTCTTCTCCGTCAACTATCTGAAAGGTGATGAAAAGAACGAAATTCATAATAGAAAATAATGACAACATAACTAAATTAGTGTTTTGTCAGATGTGGTCCGGACTATCCATAAAAGTTATAAGATTTCAGACAAAATTTGAATGTGCTATAATTTTACACACCATAATCGATAGCAAAGTTGAAGAGAAACAGTAAGATTGGGCAAACATACCTAACCTCAGTGCTTGAATGGAACAATGGAGAGAGGTGCTTGTATGTCCTCACTCTGCCTGAGGTGCTTGTATATAGGTCCTCTTAAATTGTCATCTCCAAATAATCGACACGCTCCGACCAACAGGTTTCTCGGACCTAACGCAAGCTTGCACAATTTTATTACGTAACAGTCCCCGTTTATAGTCAAACTCGTGGTCACCTTAAGTAGGCCGACGGGCTTCAATCAGTTGTGAAAAACCTGAAAAAACTCTGTGCTTATAAGCGGGACGATTCGCAAACCAGCAAGTGACTTTACTCGTCTTTTTCATGGCGTCATGAAATTATAACCAGTACTCATTTATACGTTTCGGTGGGATGGTAGCTAGCCTTGAAACTCAGTTAATCAGTAACAACGTAGAACTTCGTACGTACGTAGATCAGTTCTAGTTGCCATACCACATTACCACAAAAGTACAATTATCGGTTCAAATCTCATAGTGGTAGAGGTAGTGAAAGTATAAGTAGTAATAGGAAGATGTTAGTCAAGGAGTATAATCCAGTGAAATAAATTTGGAAGGAGAAAAAATAAGGGACATGAAGAATTCAGAAGATTAAAATTTGGGAGAACACAAAGGGTGGATGCACCTGCGCCGTTGCAAACGATTTTGAGCTATATCATTCAAGGTCTCTAACCATCGGTTGGTATCGTTCAGCGAATCCCAACCAGGTAGTCTACACCTACCAGCATGGCTCAGTTCACTTGTCGGCGACTTCATGGATTTGTGCCATGTTTTGGTCTGGCCGCCCCTAGCTTTCTTCCAACCTACCCCTACACCATGAAAAATCGTACGTCGGGGTAGTCGGTGGTCGGGCATACGTAACACATGCCCCAGACATCTCAACTGATGAAGTTTCACTACTTCATCAATTAATTTTCCATCCTAACCTAGTACCCGTTTCCTAACAACTGCATTACTTACTCGGTGGTCCCAGGATATACGAGCAATGTTTCGAAAACACCTATGATCGAATACTAGTAACCTAAAAATATCCCCTACTCTTACCGGCCATGTTTCACTGCCATAAAGTAGGACGGAACGAACAGCTGCACAGTAAACTCGTCCTTTGGTTGGTAGACGGACATCTCGCCTACGCCACAAATGACGCAAGTTAGCAAAAGCTAAGTCGAGCATTCTGTACCCGTGCTGAGATTTCGTCACACACCAGACCACAAGGGCTGATGAGACTCCCAACATGAGTGAAGTGGTCGACACGCTCAACTACTTCACTCCCTATCATTAGTTCGGGTGTCGATGCCACCCAATCCTGAGGCAACATTTTGCATTTCCAGGGGGGAATCGCATCCCGAACATGTTTGCGTTGTTACTTATAGCGGTCAGAAGACTGCATTTTGTCAGCGTCTTCACCAAATAGAACTATGTCATCGGCATATTCTAAGTCAACAAGTGAATCTCTCGGTAGAAGTTCAACCCCTGGAAATTTAGATGAGGAATGTGTCATCTCTAAAACCACGTCAACGACAAAGTTAAACAAGAATGGGGAGGGTGGACACCCCTGACGGACACCATGTGACGTAATCAATTCTGATGACAGTTCACTATAAGCTCTCACTCAACCAGTTGTGTTCGAGTAGAGAGCCTTTGGTACTCCTTTCAGTGACAAACACTGCCATAGTACCTTTAGGTCCAGAAATACTACTATTGTGGGGCGTCTGAATGTGTGTCTATTTCCTAGGACCTGACGTAGTGTGAATAATTGGTCTATACATCCACGTCCAGATCGGAAAACTTCCTTGAACCTAGCTTATTTGTTATTTAGTTGCAACAGAAGCTACAACCAATTTGCTGACATCAATGCGTTTACGACGATGAATTTGTTTGCTACTGAAACGTAAGGTAAGATTAGCACAAACAAGGGTATGATCAGAATCTACATAGGCACTCCAAAAGGAACAGCAGTCTTGTACATAAACACAGTGGAGGTAACTGATCGCGATGTGACCAGTCTGAGTATAGGCTTGAGATATTGAGGAAGGACGTCAGGTGGCACATCGGGGATGACTGTGCCGGTAGTTAGCACTAGCCAGAAACAGGTTGTGGTATGCGCATAGTTGCAGTAGACGGTCCCCGTTTTCTGACCTGCGCCCAACAAGTCCCTACTGGCCACCTAAACGTCTCTCTTGTGTGCCTAAACGCCCAACTTGAGTATTTAAATCTCCGGCTATTACTACAATATCTATCGAACGCACTTTCTGTATAAGACCTGTTACCTGTTGCTAAATCTCATTCTTGGTAGCATCTGGCCTGCAATCTGTTGGAGCATAGGCGGAGATGACGAAAAGACGCCTTTTCTCACATCGATTTCCTTGCACTTTGATGGAACTTTCTAATTTAACATGTAACCGACTGTTAATTGGGATCCAATCGATCGGTGCTGCCTCAGTTCTAGCGTTTGGTGCGACATTAAAGCCAGCACAACCAGACGAAGATGCCATAGGGTCTCCGGATAAACGTATGTGAAGCAAGGTTTTCGAAGCGACAGATGGAAAGCGAATTTGTAGTACTTTACTAGATTCTGTAATATGGGTCACGGACAGACAACAGACATCGAGATTAAAACTTTCTAAAGACATAGCCAACCATATCTGTTGTCCAATCTGCATTAGAGTGCGAACATTGGACGCCAGTTCGAATGCTGAACATGGGTTCAGGAAGACTTTCAATAATTGTAATCGGTGGTAGCATTCAAATTCCGACCACTCAGTGACTCGATATACTTTAGGTAGCACGAGGTTTTCACCACAGGCGAGCTGCTGCATAAGTTGGAAAATAGGCAAAATGAGAATAAAGGGGAATGAATAAGTGATGTAGTATAAAAGAAATGAAAACAAATGATTGTGAGTGCCATTTTTCTGAATGCAAGTAGAAGTAAGAATAAATTTTCCAGTAGTAATCATCACTCCTACATAAAGAGTGACATTTAGTACGTCGACCACTCCAGTTCTTTTAGAAATCTTATGAGTCCTGGTGACCCAGTGTCTGGTGAAATTTACGCACGAATTCAGAAAGTTCGCTTAGCTTCGTTAGACTAAGAAACTTGCGTAGACGAGATGTCTGTCTACCATACAAAAGGAGAATATACTGCATAGTAGTCCGTTTCGTATTAGTCTACGGCTGTGAGATACAGGGTATGAAAGTAGAAGACGTGCGCAGGCTTAAAGTTTCTGATCGTAAGTTTCTTCGGAGAGTTACTGAAGTATTTTAGGACGACATAGTGAATAATGCTGATGTTGTACTAAACACAGATAGCAAATCAGTTGATGAGGTTGTAGATTTTTAACTAAGATGGGACGTACAATGTGTCGCGCGGAGCCGACCAGTCAGTCAGTCAGCTACAACGTAGGATCAGGCACATATGTGCATCGGTCCAGGTTGCCATACCGCATCAGCACAACAAGATGAACACTGGATTCACAGCAGTGGTTAGGTCAAAGGTGGTAATATATAAGAGAAAGATTGCATATAGAGATATAGTACAAGAAGAGAGAATTGGTTCGTAGAAAGAGAGATATGAAGTGATTTTAATCTCTTAGTTTAAGGGAAGACAGGGAGTGTATACACCTACGCCATTGTGATCGATTCTGAGCCATGTCACCAAGAGTCTCCAACCATTGGTTACGAAAGTCACGCGGACCCCAACCAAGTAGTCTGCATCTACCAACATGGCTCAGACTAGAAGTTGGTGTCTTCAAGCACTGATGCCACGTTTTGGTTTGGCCGCCTCTTACTTTCTTCCAACCATCTCCAATACTGGATAGCATTGCACGTCGTGGTAATCGGTGTTCAGGCATACGTAACACGTGGCCCGACCATCTCAGTCGATGAAGATTCACAAACTCACCAACTGATTTACCATCCTTCCCTAATACCCTTAGTCTAACCTCACTATTACTTACCCGGTGATCCCAGAAGATGCGAGCAATATTTGTGAGGCATCTGTAGTCAAATACTAGTAGCTTACGAGTGTCTTCTACTCTTAATGGCCATGTTTCGCTGCCGTAAAGTAAAACAGAACGAACTGCCGCTCAGTATACTCGTCCTTTTATTGATAGACGGATATCTCGCCTTCGTCATAGGTGACGTCAGTTGGCAAAAGCCAAACGAGCTTTTCGAATCCGTGCTGAGATTTCGTCAAGCACCAACGCATTAGGGCTGATCAGACTTCCAAGATAAGTGAAGTTGTCAACGCGTTCCACTACTTCACTCCCTATCCTTAGTTCAGGTGTTGACGCAGACCAGTCCTGAAGCAACAACTTGCATTTAGATGGAGAGAAGCGCATTCCAAACATTCTGGCATTGTTGCTTAGTGCTATCAGAAGACGGCATTTTATCAGCGTCTTCACCAAACAGGACTATGTCATCCACGTATTCTAAGTCGATAAGTGGACCTCCTGGAAGGATCTCAATACCCGAGAATTCAGTCGACGAGAATGTTATTTCCATCAATAGGTCTGATGATGTTAAACAAAAATGAAGAAAGTGGACAGCCTTGACGGACGCCACTTGAGGTTGCAAAAGTAGATGACAGTTCACCATAAGCTCTGACTTGATTAGTAGTGTTCGAGTAAAGAGCCTTCACAAGGTTTATATACTTCTGAGGTACGCCTTTCAATGACAGACACTGCCACAGAATCTCGCGGTCTACCGAGTCAAATGCCGCTTTCAAGGCAAGAAAGACCACCATTGTCGGACGCCGATAAGTATGCCTATGTTCTAGAACCTGACGAATGGTGAATATGTGGTCGATGCAGCCACGACCAGGTCTGAAGCCAGCTTGGTTCTCTCGTGTTCGCAGTTCACGAGTCTTAGTTAGGCGTCCGATAATTATTGAGGCTAGTATTTTAGATACTATATTAGTTAAACTAATCCCTCTCTGGTTGTCACAGGATGATTTTGACCCTCTGTTATATATTGGGACGATAAGTGATTGTGACCAGTTAGTTGGGATAACGTCTAACTCCCGGATTTTAGCCAAGATATTAGTCAACCTAATCGCTAAAATTGGACCACCATCCCTAAAGACCTCTGGAGCCAATCCATCTGGACCAGCTGCCCTTCCTCGTTTCAGACTAACTATAGCCTTTTGAACTTCAGCAAGAGTTGGGGGACCTACTTCAATGTTCCATTCACACTGTCTGGGAATGGAGGGTAGTTGTAGAGTAGCTGAAGGCCAGTCTACTTGATGTGTAATCCTGACCGGTAAAGCAGGCAGATGGATGATAGCTGAAGATGATCAAACCAAAACGTCATATCAGTCCATAAAGTCATTTGCATTCGGTGTATGCCGTATTGTCCGATCATAGAGACGCAGATGCATCGATTTATCGTCTTCCCCTAGATTCTAAGCTTTTCAAACCATATTCTCATGGTTTAATCATTTCTACTGTAATTGATGCTATCATTGACACAACCATCTTGCTATTTTGTCAATCTCGTCTTATCGTATTGAAATTACATAGCAAATTGGGATCACATACGCATGTTTCAGTCTCTACGTTGATTGATTAGCTGACTTAATGAAGTGAAATATGTCCTACATGATTTTAGTTAGTAGTAAAATGTTCCACTGTGTACTCGACTTCCGCAACTTAACCAAGAACATTCTCATCGAAATAAAATGGCGATATTACAAAGCATGAAAATGTCATACCTTTTGCTAATTAATTTGAGAAAAAGGAAAGCTAAACAGACCTCAGTTAATTTTTCGATTTCATGTTCTAAACCAACTGCGCGATCTTCCTCGAATCTAGCAGCCCGATCAAACCTCCTAATTTCATCTTCAGCGGACCGCATTATCAGGGCGAAATTGTGTCGCAGAGCGGGACAATCAAAGAAATTCCCTTCCAACCTTTTTTCGATTCGTTTACCATCAACATCTGGATTTTCTTCATCTGAGAGAGTAGAATTATCTCCCGGTTTTCGGCGCCTTTGCACAACACGAGATAAAGCAGCTTCATAACCAGAGTACACCTTTTGCTCTTTACTTGTCATATCGATAACCTTTACTTTGGACAATTCACTAAACAAACAAAACATAATAAATGGGTAAAAAAATTAATGCAGTCAACTAGAGATGTCCGAGTTATATTACCATGAATGAAATATCACTATTTTATTAAGTTAAAACAGTCCTATTAACTGTCTGAAGATATTATTACATAGTGTAGGTTCATGTAATTGGTTTTAAGCCATAACTCAGTGTAAAGGTTGGTGGTACCACCAACCTGTTCAAAATGAAGTAGATTAATGGACCGCTATGCTGCAGCCCAGCTGTCAAAGGCTAACTTCAATCACTAGGACATCAATTCTCTAACTTACAAAAAATTGGACAGGAAAAATCCTAACATTCTAAACCATCAATAGAATTAACTCATTATTCGAAACCTTTAATCGGTAACATATATTTTGACGATAAAGGTAGAAATCAACTTCACATTGTTAACCTGCAAAGAGAATCATATACTTGAGCTGATTAGCTATAGTAAAAGATAATTGAAAATGAGCAGATAGGTATTATTTATTAAGATACTTTGAGCTAACCGAATGCCCGAAACAAAATAGGTGGAACAGGGTTCTAACTCGTCACTTGGCTGTGGGAAGTCAAGGGCCTTAACCATTGAATAAGCTTTCTACCTTACTTTCAGTCTAACAGTTTGTTGTAAAAAAGCCTTACAAGTGCTTTAATCTATACTTACGCCTAATATATATATATATATATATATATATATATATATATTACTTACGCCTGTTACTCCTCGTGAAGGAGCATAGGCCGCTCACCAGCATTCGACATCCAACTCTGTCCTGGGCAATCCTTTCTAGCTCCTTCCAGTTGTAATTCATATATTTCATATCTGCTTCTATTATCCGACGTAATGTGTTCTTAGGCCTTCCTCTTTTCCGCTTCCCTTCAGGATTCCAAGTTAGGGCTTGTCTCATGATGCAGTTTGACGATTTGCGTAATGTTTGTCCTATCCATTTCCATCGTCTTTTCCTAATTTCTTCTTCAGCTGGAAGCTGATTTGTTCTTTCCCACAAAAGGCTGTTGCTGATGGTATCCGGCCAATGGATGTTGAGTATCTTGCGAAGACAGCTATTTATAAATACTTTTACCTTCTTGATGGTGGTTGTTGTAGTTCTCCAAGTTTCAGCTCCATACAGTAGAACTGCCTTGACGTTCGTATTGAAGATTCTCACTTTGATATTGGTTGAAAGTTGTTTTGAGTTCCATATGTTCTTCAATTGTAGGAATGCGACCCTTGCTTTGCCAATCCTTGCCTTTACGTCTGCATCTGAGCCTCCTTGTCCATCGACGATGCTTCCTAGGTATGTGAAGGACTCTACATCTTCCAGAGTTTCGCCATCAAGAGTGACTGGATTGGTGTTCTCCGCTTTGCTCAGATCTCCTTTCTTTGGAATCTTGATGAGGTGTCCTTCTTTCCAGTCCATTGGCACTTATTTCTCCTCCCAAATCTTTTTGAATAGAAGGTAAAGCATGTTTGTAGTTAATTCGATGTCTGACTTCACTGCTTCAGCTGGTATATTGTCGGGTCCCGCTGCTTTCCCGTTCTTGATTTGTCTGACGGCCATTCTGATTTCTTCCTTCGTTGGTGGGTTGACATCTATAGGAAGATCTATGTGTGCTGCTTCGATGTTCGGTGGATTCATTGGAGCCGGCCTATTCAGGAGTTCCTCGAAGTACCCTACCCATCTGTTCCGCTGTTGTTGAATTTCAGTGACTGGCCTACCTTCTTTGTCTTTGACCGGTCTCTCTGGTTTACTGTATTTCCCTGATAGTTTTTTTGTTGTATCGTAAAGCTGTTTCATATTTCCTTCTCTAGCAGCTTTTTCCGCCGTCGTTGCTAGTTCTTCCACGTACTTCTTCTTGTCGGTTCTAATGCTCCTCTCTTCACTTGCTTGTTTGCTTCTGTGTATTCAGCTTGTGCTTGGACTTTCTCTGCTCGTGTTCGGCTGTTGTTAATTGCTGCTTTCTTGTTCCTTCTTTCTTTGATCTTGTCCAGTGTTTCTATAGAGATCCACGCCTTATGATGGTGTTTCTTTAGACCGAGAACCTCTTGACACGTTGAAGTTAACGCTTCTTTGATGCCTTTCCAGTTGTCCTCTATAGTAGTTTCTTCTTCCTTCAGTAGATTATGTAAGGCTTGGAACCTGTTGTTGAGAGCTATCTTGAATTCATTGAGTCTATCAGTATCTCGAAGGAAGGCTGTATTGAACCTTTGTAGTGCTGTTTGTCCAGTTCTTCTTTAGTTTCAGTTTTAAATTGGCCACAACTAGGTGATGATCTGAAGCTATCTCAGCACCTCTCCTGGTTCTCACATCTTCCATTGTCCTTCGGAAATTTTTGTCGATGCAAATATGATCTATCTGGTTCTCTGTAGTGTGGTCCGGTGAGATCCATGTAGCCTTGTGTATACGCTTGTCTGGAAATATTGTGCCCCCTATGACCAATTTGTTGAATGCACATAGATTTGCAAATCTTTCTCCATTTTCGTTTCTCTGTCCCAGTCCATGTCGTCCCATAATATCTTCCTATCCGGTGTTGCCTATTCCGACTTTGGCATTTAGATCTCCCATTAGAATGGTGAGGTCCTTTCTTGGGCATTTCTCTATGATTAACTGCAGCCGCTCGTAGAATTGATCTTTAATGTCGTCGTTGCTATTATTGGTGGGTGCATAACATTGGATAATATTCATTGTGATCCCCTCCTTTGTTTTGAATGATGCTTTGATGATTCTGGATCCGTGAGATTCCCATCCTACAAGTGCATTCCGTGCTACTTTGGACAGCATTAGAGCAACTCCCTGAGTGTGTGGAGCATTTTCCTCTTCGTGACCGGAGTATAGCAGCATCTCTCCCGTATTTAGCCTTTTCTGTCAAGCTTGGGTCCAATGGGTTTCGCTGATTCCCAGTACTGCCAAATTGTATCTCCTCATTTCCGTTGCTATTCGACTGGTCTTCCCGCTCTCCCACATTGTTCGGACGTTCCATGTACCTACAAAATTTTTTGCTCTGGTTGTTAGAAGGGGCATCGGCCTCGTGGCTTCCGAAGGAACTCGGCTTTCACCATGAAGCGTCATAATTCTTCTAAATGAAGACCTTCTAACTCCCAGGGCAGAGTTGAAATGGTTTGAATTAATTTTTCTGGTAAGCGTTTCTTTTAGCGAGTTAGTTTTCTACGGGATGGGGACGCTAACCCCATGCCCAACCCTCCTCCTTTACCCGGGCTTGGGACCAGTAGTAAGCCTAGAAGAGCTACAGGCGGTTATATATATATATAACTTCGCCTGTAGCTCTCCTAGGGTTACTGCCGGTGCCAAGACCGGGTAAAGGAGGAGGGTTAGGTATGAAGCCAGCTACTCAATCCCGTAGAAAACAACCTTGCTAAAAAACGCCAACCAGAATAAGCAATTTAAACCACTTAAACTCTGCTCTGTGAGTTTAAGTATCTGCATTTAGAAGAATTAAGACGCCTCATGGTAAAAGCCCGGATTCTTGGGATGTCACAATGTCCATGCCTCTTCTAACAACTAGAAAAACAATTAATTAATATAGACACATGGAATACCTGGACAGTGTGGGAGGCCGTAAAGACCGGTGAAATAACCTCTGAAATGTGGAGATAGGACTTGACGGTGCTCGGAATGAGTGAAGCCCTTTGAAACCGAGCTGGACAAAAAAGATTGACATTGGGAGAGATGTTGTTGTACTCTGATCATGAAAAAAATGCTTCGCACGTTTAAGGAGTTGCACTGATACTATCCAAAAAAGCATGTAAAGCGCTAATAGGATGGGAATCTCATGGATCTAAGATCATCAAAGCATCCTTCAGAGCAAAGGGGGGATCACGATGAATGTTATCCATTGTTACGCACCCACCAATGATAGCAAAGAAGACGATAAAGACCAGTTTTATGAAAGGCTGCAATCGATCGTAGAGAAGTGAACAGGAAAGGACCTGACCATCCTAATCGGAAACCTAGACGCCAAATTCGGAATGGACAACACTGGGTATGAACATATCATGGAACGACATGGAGTGACTGAGAAAAAGGAAAGAGAATGGTGATAGATCTTCAAACTCATGTGCATTCAAAATAGTTATAGGCGGCACAACATTCCCCCACAAACGTATACAATGGATGCAGCTAGACGGTTTGGAGTTCGCAGACAACCCAGCTCCTCTATTCCATACACACCAACAAATACAGGTGAAGACAGCCGGTGTGTAAGCAGCATCTGTAGCAGTAAGCCTCAACATACACAAGGGACAAACCAAGATCTTGAAATACAACACAGAGAACACCACATAAAGTGTGATCAATAAACGAACCCACTAATGCTGAAGTGAAACTCCCACTATCACATTAACTTTCTTTCACCACGTATGACTTTGTCATGTTTATTTAGCAATCACAATTTTATGTTCATTATAAAACAATGTTCGCCTTGTTGACTCATTTTTCCCATCCTCTAGTTACTGTTCGGTACGTTATTTATGTCTCTCATTTCCCCTGCTTAGTAGACTGTTGTTTATTTTGCATACTAACGGTGTTAATTTCTGTTTTAGAAATAGATAAAGTTTATCAAGCTAAATAGCTTACTTGTTTTGACTTTGGCTAAACTAAGACTCTGCGCTCGACAGCCTAGAGAATAGCTTAGAAATCGCTTCCTGTATACCAACTCAATCAAACTTGATGGAGAAGCCCTGGAAGAGGTGGAAACTCTCACGTACATGGGTAACAACATTAATGGACAAAGAGGATCTGATGCAGAGGTAAAGGCAAGGATTGGAGAAGGGCTGTATCCCTACAGTTGGATAACATATGGAACTCAAAACATCTGTCTGTAAGCCAACACACCACAGCCAGGATCTTCAATACGATTGTCAAAACAGTTCTACTGTACAGAGCTGAAACTTGGAGAACTACCACAACCATTATCAAAATAGTACAGGTATTCATAAACAATTGTCTACACAAGATACTCAATATCGGTTGGCTGGATACCACAAGCAACAGCCTATTGTGGGAGAGAACAACTTCCAGCTGAGGAGGAAATTAGGGAAACACGATTGAAGTGGATAGGATACACATTGCGGAAATCATCAAACTGTATCACGAGGCAAGCGCTAACTCTGAAGGGAAAAGAGGAAGGCCAAGAAATACATTGCTCCGATAATTGGAAGCAGACATCAAAAGAATGAATAGCAACTGGAAAGAATTGACCAGGATAGAATTCAAAGAATGCTGGTGGGCAGCCTACGCTCCTCTAATAGAAGTAACAGGTGTAATATATATATATATATATATATATATATATATATCCCAAATAGTACTTACCTGTTCTCCAAGAAAATCCCATGTCGCCTAACAGCTGTAGCAGGGGTTGCAGGACAAAGATCGGCGACTAATTCCTCAGTAGTTTTATACTCCTGTATAGGCTTTAATGCTTGACTCCGTTGTAATCCAGGCCTTTTCTTGTAACGTGGCCCGACTACGTGAAATACAGGGAAAAATTACGTACGCATTAATGTATTTCCAAACCAGTTTTATAGTATAGCAAAGCGTTATTCCTTGATGTCATTTACAGGAAAACCATTTGTTAATCAAATATTATGAAAGCCTACGTTGATTCTTTTGTTGTGTGCACAGTGCTTTATACATACGAGAGTGATGACGTTATGCTGTGTTGAGGTGTGGCAGAAATAAAGTTGAATACCTTCAGTCCTGGTTTTTGTCATCAACAACGCCGCCAAAAATCACAATGAATCACTATAACCTTTGTGGAGTATGTCTAGTAGACATCTGATGAGTAAACGTGATAACTAACAATGGACAAGCACAGCCTTCTAAGGTCTATTGAGTTAAATAGCGTGGGGAACAGAAATACGACTGACACCCGAAATCTTAAATTCAGTGGATGTTTGTTGAATTTACAGTATCATCGTAGTTTAACAGCCTATGCTGTACGCAATGTATGATCATTTTTATTTCGTTTTATACCTTTGTATATAAGGTAGTGTTTTCTTATTGGAAAGTTAACGCAACTTTAATTGCGAGATCAATTGTCAAGCATTCTATTTACCGTTTATTAGAAGATTTAATAAACGTAACGAGTCAGCTAACAACCTCCTGAACAGTTATTACTTAACCATATTGCATCGTTCCTCATTCGATTTACTTTACTAATTGGTATTCATGAAAATCAAAAACGCGAAGCTATGTTGGAAGCTGAACGTTATTCCCCTTACATTTAGTGAGACGGTTTTAAGATGAATAACGTAGAACAGTCCGAATGTGGTTCCAGCTAGTTTAGCATATACAACCATACACTAGTGGTTAGAGATTGGGACAAAAATAAAATAGATAAGGGACAAACTCCAAATTCTTTCACTACAATCCAGTAATCAACCATAGATTATCAGCTACAAAGTCGGGGGTAGTGGTAGCAACCAACTGTTTTGACCTAAGTAAAAAGAGCTTCGACCGTTCAGCTGAACACTGACATGATAACGAGTATTTCGGTGATGGGATACGCTTCATTGTTGTTATCTTCATTTAGCAGTCAGTTGCAGAACACAGAAGAAATACAAAGATGCTCCTCATAAAACCTACCTAGTTTTTCAGATGATCGAAATAACATGTATTTTGAATGTTATCTGATCTAATAGTAGCAGAGATAAACAGCTAAAACCAAAACTGATACTTTAACTACAATATCCAGTGCCTAAAACAATTAGCTCACGAAACAATCATCTGAACCATACTTACATAGTCTTCGGAAGAACAGTGGGTGCAAAACTGAATATACTAGTAAATTAAAATCACAACGAATACACAAAACCTTCAATCAAGAAAGTACTTTTCATCAAATAACACGATAAACCGAGGATAAAAATGCAGGTCACCACGCAGTGACCTCTGACATCTGCCTGTTGTAATATAAACCTATAGAGTGGTGGCCTAGTGGTCGTGTTTGGTCTTCAAACAATAAGTCCTAAGTTTGAAGCCCGCTCCACCTACGTTAGTTTTGGCAACAGGGTAGTATCCTTAGCTATCATGGTGAATAAGCCCATAATCAGTACCTAAGCAGTAAGTTCTAATTTAAAATCCAATACAAACCATTTTGGCATGACTATCACAAATATAGTACTTTGGTAACAAATTCACGTAATTTAGAGGGGAAATAGTATGCATGAACAATAACGAGCAAGAACGGGATTAGGAAACACCGCATCCACAGACTACGTATAAATCATTTATACGAATATTCGTCAAGATTAGAACGAATAGTTAGACAGAAATTGGACGCCGAGTATAGAGAAGTCATTATATGTGAAAATTCTATTTGAAATAATCTCAGCGATCGAAATTTAAATAATTCCAACGTTTCGTCCAGCTAACTTGTCTGGACTTCTTCAGGGTAATAATCAAAATCAAAATTATCAAAGAAATACGTAGCCTTTGACAATCAAAACTATAAAGTGTTGAACCAATCAAATTTGCATGTTGATTTTCGTAAAATAGGATGAAATGAATCAGATAACAACAAATCATGTGAAAACATTCAAAAAGCAACAACGCAAACATGTTCGAGATGCGATTCCCCCCTGGAAATGCAAAATGTTGCCTCAGGATTGGGTGGCATCGACACCCGAACTAATGATAGGGAGTGAAGTAGTTGAGCGTGTCGACCACTTCACTCATGTTGGGAGTCTCATCAGCCCTTGTGGTCTGGTGTGTGACGAAATCTCAGCACGGGTACAGAATGCTCGACTTAGCTTTTGCTAACTTGCGTCATTTGTGGCGAAGGCGAGATATCAGTCTACCAACCAAAGGACGAGTTTACTGTGCAGCTGTTCGTTCCGTCCTACTTTATGGCAGTGAAACATGGCCGGTAAGAGTAGGGGATATTTTTAGGTTACTAGTATTCGATCATAGGTGTTTTCGAAACATTGCTCGTATATCCTGGGACCACCGAGTAAGTAATGCAGTTGTTAGGAAACGGGTACTAGGTTAGGATGGAAAATTAATTGATGAAGTAGTGAAACTTCATCAGTTGAGATGTCTGGGGCATGTGTTACGTATGCCCGACCACCGACTACCCCGACGTACGATTTTTCATGGTGTAGGGGTAGGTTGGAAGAAAGCTAGGGGCGGCCAGACCAAAACATGGCACAAATCCATGAAGTCGCCGACAAGTGAACTGAGCCATGCTGGTAGGTGTAGACTACCTGGTTGGGATTCGCTGAACGATACCAACCGATGGTTAGAGACCTTGAATGATATAGCTCAAAATCGTTTGCAACGGCGCAGGTGCATCCACCCTTTGTGTTCTCCCAAATTTTAATCTTCTGAATTCTTCATGTCCCTTATTTTTTCTCCTTCCAAATTTATTTCACTGGATTATACTCCTTGACTAACATCTTTCTATTACTGCTTATACTTTCACTACCTCTACCACTATGAGATTTGAACCGATAATTGTACTTTTGTGGTAATGTGGTATGGCAACTAGAACTGATCTACGTACGTACGAAGTTCTACATTGTTACTGATTGACTAATGGTAACAATACTCGTATCCAGAATATACCTGCAATAATATAATTACTAAACAGACAATTTTAGATTTAAATATATAGTATAAGTATAATTCACTAGACTTATTTGACGCATATAGTTTCAAATCTAAACATTAGCATACAAATACAACTACATTACGAAATAAATGTTTGAGTACTCAGCTTTGAGTCAGATAGTATTTGTAGGTTACTTATAGATCAAAAATAACTTACCAGAGTCTGAACCTTCAACGACAGTCTCATTTCCTCGACGAGGGGCGGGAGCTTTTTCAGATCCATAGTACCCTACTGATACTTTCCCCACTCGTTGGACAGCTTGAACTGGAGTAACAATACCCCGACCGTCAGAACCAAGACCCTTGCCCGGTTCGTAACCCATCTGCTCTAAAAGTTTCATTCCAATACCCTTTGTGTGCCTTTCCCAAGCCCCGAAACCAGAGGTCGCAGACTTCGCCGCTGCAGCGGCTGCTGCTACACGTCGACTGGCCCCAACGGATATGCCCACAGGCTTGTCAGGTTTACGATAAATATCGGAATTTGGTGAGTCAGAGTCTGAATCATGATAAGGACGCAAACTCCTTAGGACAGATTTGTCGTCTTCATCATCCGAAATCTGGTCGACTTCTTCGTTATTTTCTTTCGGACCAGACGAAGCACCAGCACCTGCCTACAATGACAGAAAATACTTAGGACCTTCGAAAACACATTTTTACATGACAAACGAGACTTGCAAATTAGTTGAATAAATGAACGAAACAAACATGAGACACAACAAATGCATGTTCTAGACAGCTATTATGCACAAAAAATAATTGGCACATCTTCCGTACGACTGAACTACTTAATCATTTTGACAGTAAAGGTTTACTGCCAAAATATTAGCTAAACAATGGGTATATCTATCCCAGGCATCTTTACTGGAGCCTAATGAGTTCATACAACTTGAAATAATAAGAAGCAAAAAGGTGATTTATAACTAAGCGGCAATGTAACTATTACAACCTCTCAGATGATCGCAACACTTAAGAATCTATTCACAACATAGAATTGGGAACACTGAATTGTTAGCTCGTCGATGAATCTCACTATTTGTCACCTAGCCTTCCTTAACATAAATATACCCTACCTTCACTCCACCACTGACAAAGGTGATCGGTGCTGAATAATTGGCACCCTTACGCTTGAAACCAGCTTCACGTCCACCGAAGCCACTTCTTTCAGGCTCTGAATCAGAATCATCTGAGGCGAAAATCCCGTATATTGTTTGCTTCTTTGATTGGTTGTGGCGTCGTTTCAAAGGATCCATCATGAACGAATATTCCACATCAGACAAACCAAACCTCTCCATCTCTGGTGACGACCCCATAATTCCAACAAATCCGATGACTTCAAAACGCTGCGCCCGCCAGTTCGATTGTACGACATTCAATTTCAGTTCAAATCACTATCACTAGTGATGTAGGTCAAACGGTTAATAACAACAATGTCTGGTTCAATCTTGTCCCTAATATGCCTATGCAGAACGTGGAGTGAAATCCTAAGTGAAGACATTTCTTCATTTACTCTTCAATGAAGGATTTCACTTCAAAACGGTTAATACGTGGAAAAATCTAGGGATTCTTTTGCAAAATAAAAAGCCGACAACTGCATACACATATGCATAAATTGAGTAAATAAACTACCCGGAATTAAATAAAGCATTTTTGGTGCGATAAAAACCTGTACAGCTCTCTGTTGAAACATATTTAGAGATACAAGTTATTGAATAGGTCTGACCTTACATCCGTCATATAGTATATTTGCTAGATAAGATGTCACGGAGCTTTCATGCCCCTTTTGCGCGCATGTATTCTGGTGTATTCGCACCTCACTCTGTCAGAAGACATACGAGAGAGATATGAGTGAAATAGATGGTCAGTAAGTCCTAACACTTGTCAAGTATTTGTAAAATTTTAGATGTCTATCCACAACCATATTATTAATGACGTCAAAGGATTCACCACATGCTCTGTTATCTACCTTCAGGACTTCCGGCCAACACGGTAAAATCATTTCTCCAAAGTGACGTGGAACAGCAATAAATAATAAATCATGTGCAAGAATTTACAAATCGTATTAGTAAATGTCATATAATGCGGATTTCATGTAGTATGTAATCATCTGGTTATGAAACTTTGTGTATTTCATTGGTTCGTTGGTCAATTTATGCATTCCCGTTAAAAACCTTTGATTGTCATTAATTCCGCAACTGCAAATTCCGGACATTCACATTTTCAGTTTTACGTGTCGGGTTGCGCTTCGCAACGTGTACAAAGCTGAGTTTTAAGCCTTAGAAGACGCACAGAATAACATGCACTTAATTGTTTCCTATTTTTCATGTAGATTCGAATTTTTAGGGCCAAAAGAACATAAAGTAAACATCTACAATACGTCATATGTCCGTTGTCTTGAGTTATTCAGAGGTCGTTCGTGCTTGTAGGTTCATTCACATGTCACTGATAAATGTAAAATCATAATTATCGTAGTGTATTAGAATATAGTCCTATAATTTGGGAGCCATCTGCATAGGAAAAACATTTGCTATTATACACAAACGGCTTATTGGTATATAGGTTGTTTTGTCTGTGTTTGTAGAGTTTACTACGACAATGATCGGCCACTTGTATTGATGCTGAATATCCTCTGGTGTTTAGTGACGTCGGAAGTGACGTGGAACAGTAATAAATAATAAATCATGTGCAAGAATTTACAAATCGTATTAGTAAATTTCAATTAATGCTAGAAGCATATAGCGTCTTTATATTATGAGTCAAACGAAGAAGCTCCTCCTATATCAGTGGATTAGGATAAGCTAGGTTAACGTCTTACAACAACATAAATGACCTATTTAACCTCATAGAATTTCAACAGGGTATTTAGGTACTGTTCCTATATCAGGCTAAAATTAACAATCTTGGATTTAAAGAGACTAAGAATAAGACCATTGACAACATAACATCTTTCAACGAGCGTCAAGAACTCATTCACCTCAAGGGAATGTAAATAGTTAGAAATTGTAGCAATTACAGTGTGGTCATCCGCACTCTTAAAAAACAGGCTTACGTAGAAAATAGCAGACCATGCTGAAAAAAAGTAGATGAGAAATGACAGCTCTTCATGGTAAACTTTTACTTAATAAAGACTTTGGACACTTTTCTCTAAGCACAATGTACTGTTCTTTTCCAGAGAGGTAGAAACAGAGCCAGTTGGTTATCTAGCTGTCACTGTTGACTCTGGCAAACTTGTTTATTAGTAATCGCCTTGGAATAGAGGCAAATGTATGATCCATAAATGAGCATCAAACATCTTACAATTTTCCATGCTGGACATTATAATATGGTGCAAAACAACAGCAGCATCTAAGGCACTTCTTTTCCATTTGTAAGCGAAATTATATGGGTCAATACCACTATTTAACCCAGGGTGGAGTGTAACTGGCAATAGTCTTGACAATGTTTTGAGAAAACGTGAAGTCATTGCCATGAGTCCAAAGTCTAAGTTCTTATCGTCAGATACATTCTTTGGCATTGGAACTATCTTTATTTCCATGAGACTAGAAAGATTCGTTAAAGATGCACATAAATAAATGACAACGTGAGCACACCTATTGAAAAAGGAGGTTTGGTACTTCCTGAGGTCTGATATATTATTTCATGAACCCAGGCCTTTGTCCAACGAAATCGATGATGCGCTGTTGACAGACAGGAAAGCTCTCTGAGCAAAATCTCATATTTCGTTTACAACTATTCGAAACTTTTGAAAATTGGATAGGAATTGAGGATAAATGTTTCAGAATGCGTTTTTTGGGCCCTTGCACAAATTTTTCTTCTAGCATTCGGTAAAAATGAGAACAAGCGGAAGCTAGAATTTAAAGTAGTTACCTGAAAGGTTTTACCCTCATCGTCCTTATACCTTTTGAATGGTGAGCCGAATAAATATGATCGACGAGGACATGAATAGTTCGGAGGTCAGGCCAGTTACCGTCATGGGCAGATATCTCATTGTTTCAGATAAATCATTGCCTACGAATTTCGATGACAGGCGACACAATGTGTATCACATGGAGTGTGTCCCCTCCTATAATAGAAAGTGTGTCAGTGAATTACCCAGATGATATGAAATCTATGTATTGCCACTGTTCAACATTAAGATTCTACGTTTATGCCATTAACATGGAGAACGTTTCTGATGGTCTAGTTATTATCCCGTTCATGTTCACCTGAAGAGTCGGGATGTCCGAAGGGGCTTGTGTCGAACATCGAACCCTAGTGCTATCCGCGTATCACAGTTTGATAATCCAGAAAATAGCCTCAGTTGTCGATAAACAACAAAAGGAGTGGTGCGGTATGAAATCTAGTGCTACTTCGCTCATCATTGTTAATCAGTCAGACAAATCTGAACGAGCTCTGATGATTCGTAATCTCTTCATCATATAGTGTCCAAAGGGATCATCATATAGTGTAGATTTTGTGCCTTAAATGAATTCTGTAAAACAGAACCGAACCGTAGAAAAACTATCAGTCACACCGATCGTACCTCTAAATTGGGGCTGATCACTGTTGAATAACGATGAATATTAGTTTACATTGATTTCTGTTGGCTGAGTGACGACGTTTGGCTGAGGACGTCCTGTAATTACTTTTTTAACGCCCACGTAAATTCCGTCTTATTTGGAGAACATTGAAAAATTATAAGGTAAATCACATGATAGATGAGTCAGTGAAAGTTCGATTATTTTATATGCATCTGGAGGATGAACTGTTAACGCTTATTCGTGTATATCTTCATGTGTCTTTTGCAAGCATATATTGCATGTATAAGTGTAGTTATTTACTAGTTTACCATGTTTTTTTCATATATGTGTCTGACTGTTTATGTGTCATTACACATTTTAACTACTCCTTGTGTTCCGTGCTTCCTAATATGAATCGCGCTTAATAAGGTTCAGTAGGCTGATAAATACTTCTCTCATATGCACATATCCCATTAGTATTCATGATTTGTCTTTCCACATATGAATGGTTGTAACAAGTCCTCGCACTCCGATTTTATCACCAACGCTGGATTTTGGGCTTAGCCTAGTTATAATGTATGAAGTCAATTAGTAACTACAGTTCAATACCATAACTCACCATCAACCATAGTCAACTAGGGTCTATAATAGGACACTAATTACTCACATTCCCGCCTCACTGTTTAATAGAGCATTCGACTTCAGCCTCACACGTTACGATTTTGCTACCTGCTTAATTACTCATTTATTTTCTTACTTAGAATATACCCAGTCTACTCCCTACGTTTCAGCAAATGCAATTTCTTTAGTTTCTACTCACAATTCTGCAGCCGTTTACACAATCTACATTGGTGATCTACCATAAATTCTCTGAGTGATACATATAATGCTGTTCATTTTTGTTTTCTTTCACAAACGTAGTTGGTAAAACATTTCCACATACTCTTTGAAATGGAGAAAAAAATCACCTTGCAATGATCGAGCTATATCAAACCTATAAAGGCTATTCTACCTTCTGGACTGACTGATTTCTTCACTCTTCTGAAGCTACTTAAGAAGTATCTCCGTAAGAATAATGATTGGTTGACGTTCACTGAATTGGATTGATTTAGTGGAAAAGGAACCATTGCTGAACAATATTGTGTAATATGGACAGTGGGTGCTTGCCTATTTTGACGTCCGAAGGTAAAACGTAAATACTAGGAACCAGAACGTATACTATGATCATGTCATTTGCGTCTGCTCATTTTGATAACCGGTATAGCTCGCAAGAGATTAGTCAAGAAGTGAATGAGTAATTTACCGTTACCATGAAATGAATCTTGAAGATTGAAGTTTGTTGGGATATTAAACAATGGAGACAAAAACCGCAAAAGAGAACACATCGATCCATAATCATTCATGCTACAGAAAGTATCTGACAAACTATGTGCGGTTTCAATATTATAACAAAAAAATCTACGAATTAAAGAACCAAGGATCTTATATAAATGGTAACCTTATTAGGTACAGAAACATGTAAGCCGAAGCTACAACAAAACTGTAACAACAACTTTCTGCAAAAATCGGAGAAATGAAAGATGCTAGTGTCGGTTAACCATTTATTAATACTTTGAATCAAGTTCTTATTGATGTTAGGATTGTAGAAATTTGACAGTAGGGATGCGTTGGAAATTTCTTTAAAGTGTTTTTTGGCCAATATTGTTATTTCTTTGTTCCTTAGTACAGTCTCGTATTTTGTAACCGCATTTGATGTTCTTCTATCTCCTCTGTTTGGGCTTTTATTATTTCACTTTGCTTGAGATTTACCCTTCTCATTTAATCTTTCCGTTGCTTGTCGTCAAGCTATTGACAACAAGGATGTGTTTGACTAATCTCAGGGTCACGGCGTGGTCCGGTTAATGATCGTTGACCTTTGACTGCATACCTTTGGAGACGATTGATTGATACCATCTTTTTAGGACTACAGATTCCCAGGTACCAAACACTTACTTATTGACCATTCCCCTTGCTAATTAGCACGCTATTTCTTCTAGATTAAACTTGAACAGTTTGAGGTATCTTGTAATTTTGATATAATTTGTTTGTTTTTTTCTTTAATAGGTATGGATTAAATTAAGCTTAGCGTTTACGTTTTGATATAATTTAGTACGAGTCACTCAGAAACACTGCGTGTACCATACAAAAGAATGTCATTTGATTTAACCGAACAAAATTTTGTTCGTTAGCTCCAAGTTTGAATCAATCACTGGAATTTCGGTCATTTCGACGGAAGCTGGTGGAATGTTGAGCCAAATATATTGATCAAATAACTCATTTATTATTAGATTCAGTAGAGTAAGTACAAATCTTTTACAGGTTTGCAGAAATAATTGCTATAGTTTCAACTCCCAATGCTTTCTTTGATAAAGCTATCAGCCGCAACCGTTCTTTAAGCATGCTGTGATTGTAGAGTGACAGGATTAGTGCACATACAAAATAGGTGAACCAGATGTCAACCTACTGGGTAAAAGGAAACAAGTGCCTGAATAGAGTTACGATATCTAGCGGCGTCAAGCGGGTGAAGGTAGCTCATTATCGTGAATTGACTGAAACAAAACTTTAACACTCGGATCTCATGTCAGTGGTGCAGATGTTAAGAGTTCGCACTCAAGACTAAAGACTGTGTGTTTGACTTTGCAGGTGCAATGTCGTCAGTGTGCACTTCTGAGAAGTCTCACACTATAATGAAATGGTCTTTTAGTGCTTTTGTGTTTTTAATGGTAGGCTAGCAGAGACCAGTCAATATTTTACGCTACAAAAGGTTATTCCATACTACAGTATAAGTGGTAGATTTTATCGCAGAAGTCGCAAATGGATAGAGCTATCTTGAAACAGCACATTCATGTCACTAGTACTAGCTATAATACCATTTATTGTTGCAGGGGTTTACATCATTTCCTGGTTCAGCAGTACCACGAAACTAGGAAACTACTCATCTACTGTTTCATCTTGATAGTCCTCATTTACTGTTTCCAATAAAGGCCTCGTAAGCAAATGCCAAATTATACTGATAGATCAACAATATGGCACTCTAATTCGTGAAAACCTACCTCAAGATTTTTGCAAGATATCTATCCAATATATTGTACGCCGACGTCACTAAACACCAGAGGATATTCAGCATCAATACAAGTGGCCGATCATTGTCGTAGTAAACTCTACAAACACAGACAAAACAACCTATATACCAATAAGCCGTTTGTGAATAATAGCAAATGTTTTTCCTATGCAGATGGCTCCCAAATTATAGGACTATATTCTAATACACTACGATAATTATGATTTTACATTTATCAGTGACATGTGAATGAACCTACAAGCACGAACGACCTCTGAATAACTCAAGACAACGGACATATGACGTATTGTAGATGTTTACTTTATGTTCTTTTGGCCCTAAAAATTCGAATCTACATGAAAAATAGGAAACAATTAAGTGCATGTTATTCTGTGCGTCTTCTAAGGCTTAAAACTCAGCTTTGTACACGTTGCGAAGCGCAACCCGACACGTAAAACTGAAAATGTGAATGTCCGGAATTTGCAGTTGCGGAATTAATGACAATCAAAGGTTTTTAACGGGAATGCATAAATTGACCAACGAACCAATGAAATACACAAAGTTTCATAACCAGATGATTACATACTACATGAAATCCGCATTATATGACATTTACTAATACGATTTGTAAATTCTTGCACATGATTTATTATTTATTGCTGTTCCACGTCACTTTGGAGAAATGATTTTACCGTGTTGGCCGGAAGTCCTGAAGGTAGATAACAGAGCATGTGGTGAATCCTTTGACGTCATTAATAATATGGTTGTGGATAGACATCTAAAATTTTACAAATACTTGACAAGTGTTAGGACTTACTGACCATCTATTTCACTCATATCTCTCTCGTATGTCTTCTGACAGAGTGAGGTGCGAATACACCAGAATACATGCGCGCAAAAGGGGCATGAAAGCTCCGTGACATCTTATCTAGCAAATATACTATATGACGGATGTAAGGTCAGACCTATTCAATAACTTGTATCTCTAAATATGTTTCAACAGAGAGCTGTACAGGTTTTTATCGCACCAAAAATGCTTTATTTAATTCCGGGTAGTTTATTTACTCAATTTATGCATATGTGTATGCAGTTGTCGGCTTTTTATTTTGCAAAAGAATCCCTAGATTTTTCCACGTATTAACCGTTTTGAAGTGAAATCCTTCATTGAAGAGTAAATGAAGAAATGTCTTCACTTAGGATTTCACTCCACGTTCTGCATAGGCATATTAGGGACAAGATTGAACCAGACATTGTTGTTATTAACCGTTTGACCTACATCACTAGTGATAGTGATTTGAACTGAAATTGAATGTCGTACAATCGAACTGGCGGGCGCAGCGTTTTGAAGTCATCGGATTTGTTGGAATTATGGGGTCGTCACCAGAGATGGAGAGGTTTGGTTTGTCTGATGTGGAATATTCGTTCATGATGGATCCTTTGAAACGACGCCACAACCAATCAAAGAAGCAAACAATATACGGGATTTTCGCCTCAGATGATTCTGATTCAGAGCCTGAAAGAAGTGGCTTCGGTGGACGTGAAGCTGGTTTCAAGCGTAAGGGTGCCAATTATTCAGCACCGATCACCTTTGTCAGTGGTGGAGTGAAGGTAGGGTATATTTATGTTAAGGAAGGCTAGGTGACAAATAGTGAGATTCATCGACGAGCTAACAATTCAGTGTTCCCAATTCTATGTTGTGAATAGATTCTTAAGTGTTGCGATCATCTGAGAGGTTGTAATAGTTACATTGCCGCTTAGTTATAAATCACCTTTTTGCTTCTTATTATTTCAAGTTGTATGAACTCATTAGGCTCCAGTAAAGATGCCTGGGATAGATATACCCATTGTTTAGCTAATATTTTGGCAGTAAACCTTTACTGTCAAAATGATTAAGTAGTTCAGTCGTACGGAAGATGTGCCAATTATTTTTTGTGCATAATAGCTGTCTAGAACATGCATTTGTTGTGTCTCATGTTTGTTTCGTTCATTTATTCAACTAATTTGCAAGTCTCGTTTGTCATGTAAAAATGTGTTTTCGAAGGTCCTAAGTATTTTCTGTCATTGTAGGCAGGTGCTGGTGCTTCGTCTGGTCCGAAAGAAAATAACGAAGAAGTCGACCAGATTTCGGATGATGAAGACGACAAATCTGTCCTAAGGAGTTTGCGTCCTTATCATGATTCAGACTCTGACTCACCAAATTCCGATATTTATCGTAAACCTGACAAGCCTGTGGGCATATCCGTTGGGGCCAGTCGACGTGTAGCAGCAGCCGCTGCAGCGGCGAAGTCTGCGACCTCTGGTTTCGGGGCTTGGGAAAGGCACACAAAGGGTATTGGAATGAAACTTTTAGAGCAGATGGGTTACGAACCGGGCAAGGGTCTTGGTTCTGACGGTCGGGGTATTGTTACTCCAGTTCAAGCTGTCCAACGAGTGGGGAAAGTATCAGTAGGGTACTATGGATCTGAAAAAGCTCCCGCCCCTCGTCGAGGAAATGAGACTGTCGTTGAAGGTTCAGACTCTGGTAAGTTATTTTTGATCTATAAGTAACCTACAAATACTATCTGACTCAAAGCTGAGTACTCAAACATTTATTTCGTAATGTAGTTGTATTTGTATGCTAATGTTTAGATTTGAAACTATATGCGTCAAATAAGTCTAGTGAATTATACTTATACTATATATTTAAATCTAAAATTGTCTGTTTAGTAATTATATTATTGCAGGTATATTCTGGATACGAGTATTGTTACCATTAGTCAATCAGTAACAATGTAGAACTTCGTACGTACGTAGATCAGTTCTAGTTGCCATACCACATTACCACAAAAGTACAATTATCGGTTCAAATCTCATAGTGGTAGAGGTAGTGAAAGTATAAGCAGTAATAGAAAGATGTTAGTCAAGGAGTATAATCCAGTGAAATAAATTTGGAAGGAGAAAAAATAAGGGACATGAAGAATTCAGAAGATTAAAATTTGGGAGAACACAAAGGGTGGATGCACCTGCGCCGTTGCAAACGATTTTGAGCTATATCATTCAAGGTCTCTAACCATCGGTTGGTATCGTTCAGCGAATCCCAACCAGGTAGTCTACACCTACCAGCATGGCTCAGTTCACTTGTCGGCGACTTCATGGATTTGTGCCATGTTTTGGTCTGGCCGCCCCTAGCTTTCTTCCAACCTACCCCTACACCATGAAAAATCGTACGTCGGGGTAGTCGGTGGTCGGGCATACGTAACACATGCCCCAGACATCTCAACTGATGAAGTTTCACTACTTCATCAATTAATTTTCCATCCTAACCTAGTACCCGTTTCCTAACAACTGCATTACTTACTCGGTGGTCCCAGGATATACGAGCAATGTTTCGAAAACACCTATGATCGAATACTAGTAACCTAAAAATATCCCCTACTCTTACCGGCCATGTTTCACTGCCATAAAGTAGGACGGAACGAACAGCTGCACAGTAAACTCGTCCTTTGGTTGGTAGACGGACATCTCGCCTACGCCACAAATGACGCAAGTTAGCAAAAGCTAAGTCGAGCATTCTGTACCCGTGCTGAGATTTCGTCACACACCAGACCACAAAGGCTGATGAGACTCCCAACATGAGTGAAGTGGTCGACACGCTCAACTACTTCACTCCCTATCATTAGTTCGGGTGTCGATGCCACCCAATCCTGAGGCAACATTTTGCATTTCCAGGGGGGAATCGCATCCCGAACATGTTTGCGTTGTTACTTATAGCGGTCAGAAGACTGCATTTTGTCAGCGTCTTCACCAAATAGAACTATGTCATCGGCATGTTCTAAGTCAACAAGTGAATCTCTCAGTAGAAGTTCAACCCCTGGAAATTTAGATGAGGAATTTGTCGTCTCTAAAAGAATCTGCTATCTTCCTTTTAATATCAATTTGAATATCTACGTGTTACTCTCAAATTTCTCTTTTGTCTTTTAATAATACTTAACTGAACCTTCCATTCATAATATGCGACGTAGTTTAGACATATAGGAAACTGCAGTTCAGGTTTGAAAGATTTTTCGCAGATTAAAACTGTCGAATCACATATTTTTTTGATAATTTCATAATTAATTACATTGCATACCTCCGGTTTTCAGGTTTCGGTCGCAAACGTCCCGTAAAGCCAAATCGATGACAGATTGAATCTATAATTTCTCGATTTATAAGGTATGAAGAAATAAGTTGAAAGTTTGAATTGATTAAATGCATTCAAGACACAATGAAAATGTTGTTGTTCATTATTGCTTATTATTATCATTTATTCCTTTAGCATTTACATACACACTGACTTTCATAGCCTGCATTTCTCGAGTGGTTATTGGTATCATGTTGAGAATGTTTAGTCGAAGCCTAAACGCAGGGAATAATCTTGATTCAAAGACCCTTACGTTAAACCAAAATCTCATAATATGCCTTAAAATGAAACCTGTATGGGCAACGCAGAGTAGCGTGTACTAAAATGGTCACACGAATTAAGAACCCAAACCTTGTGTCTCATTAAGTACCGAAGGCATCACTCGGACACAGATTCCCAGTTCCAGGTATACTGGTTTGAAACAGAAAGATAGGAGTAAAAATATCCTAAAACCGTATGGTCGAAAACGCCGATTTCGGAGAATGATGCGATAAGGATATCTATATTATTTCTTCATCACTGGTTAGAACCAGTGATTTGACATTCGAATCCGATTTTCGTGATTGCCGTACCCATTGCCGCTGTCACACAAGCAATACCAATAGTTTACTTTAAGTTATCCGAGTTCATTGTTTTTGTATATGCTCTTGGATTGCAGAGTATGTACACCAACCCAACCCAAAAAGTCCAAGGCTTTATTAACTCGAAAAGCAATCGTACACATCCTGACATATATAACAAATTCAGAAGCAGCCGAAAATGCGACTATGGCCACCATAAGTCACTGAGCACTAAGCATACTGATGATGAGGAGAAATTGATAGCTGTTAAAAGAAGGAATAGTTCCATAGCACCTACAGCCCACGGCGACGGAGTAAATTCCTTAGTGCCGCTCAATTTCCCACAAGTAGAGAGTAATTTACTAGAAAAAAGGTCAGCCTTTTATGATCAATGATGGGGCGAATACTGCATTCTGCTAAGTGAAGCGAGTACCCTTACAAGACTGTGCTCAGAAGAGCAATGTGCATTCAGTCCTCTCATATCATAAGACACCTGCACAACCTGCTGTAATCAAAAGATAACGGTTCGCGGACTCTGATTCGACACCACACTCACTTGCAAGGAAGATTGAGAAAATGGATTTCGTTGAACCAGCTCTCTCCTAGCTCCTAAAATTTCCTCATAAATGTAAGTAGAGTGCTTCCATCCTAAAGAGTTTCATTCCCAGGGGTCTCACATGAAGCCTTTTTAAGTTCACTCCTTTTCTGGATTCTAATTAATGACCATTTACACGAAGTCAGCACGCTAGCTTTCAGATATCATGAAGATGCCAGGGAGGTCTATAAGAAACAAAAAGATTGCCTTGATCTTTAAAAGGACTTTAGAACAACAGGGAAATGAGTGGTGAATAATTGGTCCAAACGTAGCTTGTTAACATATAGTGTTATGAGCATTTAGCCCTACGAGACACAAAATACCATAGTCTTTCATAATAAACTGCTCTCAATTGTTTTATCAGGACGCGATTTAGGACTATTAACCATATGAAGCTTGAAAACTAACTCAATTTGCATTGGGGATGAAGTCAAAGTAAATATAGCCCTTCACTTTATGTGAAGACAACTTGATACAGTCGCCCTGGAATGGTTCCTAACATTCCTTAAAAAGCACCGAAGGCCTCACATTGACGTATAAAACTTTGTTACAGTCTCGCTCTTCTAAAGAGGCATGAAACTCTCCGACAATTTGGATCATTCTGGTTGAGCTTAAAAATGATAAGAGATCACCTAGTAATAGTACACAACATACTAAATATGCCAAGTCACCTCAAAACGAACGTTATAACAGAATATCACCATCGCGTCTTGTGAAACAGACCCAGGAAATTTACATGACAGAGGGCGTAAAACTACGTAAAGGCCTACTTTTTGATATAGGATTGACCTCAATTCGAAATGCCGTGCCAACTGAAGAAACCACAACGCTCATTAGTGGCTGGCCTAAAGAAAAGACTCAAAAAACACATACCCGCTCATTTTCGCATTATTTTCGGCATTAAAACTAAATAACTTCCTGTCTTGTACTGTGATAGCTACTGGTAACAGAAACCCTCCTGCCCTGAGACGGATGCTCTTAATCAGATTATGAGATATACAGATCCGAAAAAATTACTTGACTGATCACGACCAATGCAGTTGAGTTGCTTGACCACCTCCCATTGAACTTCACTAAACACCTGGAACTATACCGGAACGTTAATAGGTGAGTGAACGAAATCAATCGTTTTATACAGACTTGTAGTAAACATATCTAGGAGGAACTCGTGTGACCTGACTATAACATTCATATTGTATGACAACGAGCTCGGATATGAAAAACTACCAGACCTTCCCCTCGGAACTTAAAACCATTTTGACAAATTAGTTACTGAATGCAAGACAAACCATCGATTTTACCGTCATTCCAACCAATGAAATCGTCTCATCATATGTTAACAGGACCTATTTGCTTTTACTAGTCAAAATTGAATGACCATCGTGATTGCGTTTTATTAGTCTAATTGCTTTATCTGAGAGGTGAGGCAAATTGATTTGTTAAGGAGATGAGGAACAGGGATTCTAATAAGTAAAGAAATCTATAAATTACTTGTTAAACTTTTATCAATGATAGAGAAGAGCTCTCCTTCAAAGCACACCACATTGCAAGCTTCATTGAAGGGGAAGAAAAACTTACAGCTCCTAGTGTTGTTCACCATATAAGCTTATTACACAGAGGAGGTCGTATTGACGAGACACCATGTAAAGTCAGACTAGATAAGAAAGGAATTTTAATTGAATTAAATTCTTCGGAGGTAAATATATAAACCTCGTACTAACATATGTTCAAGGAGGTCGTAGAATTTTTCGAATGGTCTTCCATAAGCGACCAAGCAGCAATTTTCAAACGTTCAGATGAATTCCAGTATGGATATCTTATACTTTTTCGGTGCTCACAGTATAATGCAGATCTCGAGCTTAAAGATTCTGAAGTTCACGTCTTTAGTTGCGAAACGAAAGATGATGCTAAACTACTGGTTGACTCGATATATAATCAGAAGAACTCAGCCCTGTAAGATACAGTTCAAATTGATTTTATACCATAGCGGACTCAACTCAAATGGAGACGCTTCAAGAAGTCCTGAAGTAAATTTGCGTCGCGGCAGGTCAGAAGAAGTGAGTTTATTTCCAGTAAATTTGTTTGTAAATATTTTTACATTATACAAACGAACCCATTCATTTGTAAACTGATCAGTCTCAGCCTTAAACTACACAACAGAACACGAGGAGGCTACAGAGTTACAATTTATGCTTTTTGTTCAGTGTGGCATCGAAATGCCAAAAACTATGTCAGGATTACATCCACGAAATAAATCGTAAACAATTTGGGTTAGCTTCATCAGGTTATTTTTAACAGAAGTATACTGATTTGGTGTACCAGTTGATTAGTTAGAGCACGATTTCTTTTCTCACACTAAACTAGGCTGAATGTGTTTTTGTATCTGCCTCTCCCTAAATTTTTTCTCACTAACTTTGGTCTCGAAACTTAGCTTCATTCCATATATTTCAGATTATCTTAAAAGGTTATTCGAAAGAAGTTCAAAATAAATTTGACATTATTTCAATAATTCGGCCGATATTTACGTTTAAAAATATTGTGTTATACCCGTTTAATCATACTAGATTTTGAAATGTTTCACACTGACTTCTTTTAAGTAATCTGAATAAATAAATTTTGAAAAATCTTGAGAAAATACATTTGAATAACCTTAATTTTATACAAAATAGACGTTTATTGGATATTAATAAAATAATAGCACTGCCATTTTAAAAGGAAACAAATTAGTTTCCTGAATTATTGTCAGCCATAAATAGCATGACGTCATTACAGTTATAAGCATATTTCAATACAACTGGATACTTTAAATAAAGGGTCTTTACATGATTTTACAAATAAGAACAGAGAATCGACCTTTTTCTCCTTGGTAACCACATTTTAGTCTTACTCCTATAATACAATTGCTTGATCTTACCTTCTCGCTCACCTCTATTCAGAGTTGATCTCAGTTTGTTTCCTCTTCGTAATTAAATGATATTGTAACCAGTTGTTCGCATTTTTATATTTTCGTTAATTTTTAACTCATATGTTTAATGTTGTCTGTAAATGGACTTTTTTAAGTGTAATTTCTGATTTCGAGGTTTAGATTCTTTGGTCTCTCTAATTTGGTGTCCACAAGTTTCCTCGTTATTTTTTATTGTCGAGCTGTTTTGCTTGATTTAATTGTTTTTCTAACTCTCGTAGTTTAGCTTTGTCTATTTTTTAATGAAGAGATTTAGCAGCTTGATTTTACTGTTCGTTCTCTCTTTTGTCTCTGTGTTTAGATATTAGTTAAGTATTCATATACAGCTGGTTTGTAAAGCGTTTTGGTAAAAATCGTATTGCTACTAAAAAGACGGCATTGACTTACGACAGTCAAATTGGCATGAGCCCCAGCTTTTAATTTATAAATAGCAAATCGCTTGAGGCATTTTGATTACATTCTGAAATTTGGTATCTTATGAATTTCATACTTAATGATGAGTGGTGAACTATATAGTCATTGACAAAACTTGCAAGTCAATACCTTTGGTTAAACGCCTTTGATCTTATCAATAAACAATAATCGTTAATAAGATATGCTTTACTACCAAAAAAGGGTAACATATATGAAATAATTCGCGCTTTCTTCAGCCTTTATTTTAAAGCTCCAGAAGACTGACATTCAGTTATCGTACATCACAGTAAAGTGTTTAGCAGAAGATACTCCTCGCAACAGTAGCAACACAAATCTTGGACTTCAATATACGTCTTTTATATCCCCACCCGATGTTTTGGATTTCAATGTTACAGTTTAAATAGGAACCGATGTTTGAATCTCTCCATGTCTTATATTCAACAAACGGTTTGAGTATTTGTATTCCGCTATTATCTTATAAGCATTCTCGGGGCTGGTAATGGCAAAAGGTATAGAATGTCCTTCCAGTCGATGCAATTAATTTGACAGATTTTTTGAGTATTTGTTACTTGAGTTATGTTTGTGCAGAAAGGCTTTTGGTGAGTTCTTAATTAATCAGATTTTAGTGAGTTTTTCGCACGAAATTTCGATAGGGTTTCTGTGACCTTTATAAAAAGCAGTTGTGTAAGAAATGAATGTTTCTGTTTGGTAATTGTGTATCACTATTTGATTGATGTTATAAATTATTCTAAGAAGGTAATACCAACAAGAAGCCAAACAATAACTTTAAAATGTTTTAATTACATATGAAAGCTGCTGACAACTTTATAGATTGGTGTTTTGTGAAAGACTGACGTTTTTAGTCTTTATGATTATAAGTTTTTCTGCCATTCACAAGAACCTAAGAAGTGCTAAATACGCATTTGTTCTTCTATTTAATCATTTTAACTTTGATAACAACCCTTAAGGGTGAATAATACTCTAAAAGTCATAGCGTTTCGGACAAAAGTATATATCCGTTGTATCTCACTCAACAAGTTTATCAAAATCGTTTTTAGCAGAAGAGTACTTTGACATCATAATAAATTAATATCAAATAAGTGACATCTAAATCATAAAATAGAAAAGAAATATTTGACCAGTTCTTTATCATTTAAAATTGTCGTGCTTCATGGTTTTTCGTGTTATTTCATTTGACGAATATCTTAAAGCTATCCAACATCTTTTGCACATACTTATATTAGTTGTATGCACCTGATGATCCCGTAGCATTTGTATTATGTTTCATTTATACGAGTGCATTTTTGCTGACTACTCTTCTGATAAAAGAGGTGTTTTTTTGCTATTTCGATTATTTGCTTTCTAAAACTAATAAATTAGCGATTGTCTGCACTGAAAGTTACTGAATAAAATGCAAGTTTTGCTGTATGCTCAGTATAGTACTCACTAGTTATATCACGTTTGTCACCCGTATGAGCTTAAGTTTACAACATAATGAAATTATAAAATATCAACTCATACCGTATGATGAAGCAAATATCACGATTGTTTTCTGATAGGTCATGAATAAAAATGGACATTTATCTGCGAATAAGTGTCCGCTTAGAATCTCCTTTAAAAAAATCTAGCATTTTTAAAAACATATAGCTATCTCCATACTATAAAATCTTGTCGACACTATAGATCACAATAAATCACTTCAACACCCGGTAATCATTGTATGAAGATCCTTCTAAAGGTGTATCTGTCATTACTCAAATAGTTAAAAGATGGTCTATGTAAAAGAGTTGTCGACCAACGTAGGTTTACTCCAAAATCAAAGCGAGCGCCCACATTTTTCTAGCCATGAGTTTTTGATGAGTCTGGAACATCCGACACCAGACACATTTCACTTTAACCCGATTATACCGGATTTGTTTAATAAATTGTAACCTCTAACATATAGAACTTTTCGTCTCCACTTTCGTTGTTGCTTTACTTCTGTAAAAATCTAGCAGTTGTTGCCATTCTATAAAGAAAATTCTTGAAGTTAGCTTCAAATCAACAAAAATCGTGTCACTCCTGTCAATCTAAAAGAACAGTTTCCGTCGATCCAAGTATGATTCTTTTTCTAATAGTTCGGCATAGTTATAAATTGAGGATTTCAATAGTTAACCACTTAAATCAACACACGAGCAAAGTTCACTAACTAACTGACATATTAGGGATGAGATAACAACCTTATTTAGGGTTATGGCAGTTGAAATCGTAACAAAGTAGTTTTGTTTAATATCTTCTGAAGATTTATTAACTACTTTTTGTATTTTTACAAGGAGCCACTATTTGAACAAATCCAAATAAATCCAATCCGTATCACCTCCACTTACAGGTTTCTTGGGCTAAAACTTCTTGTATAACCTAAAGTATTTCCATAGACTTAAGCGGTATAACACCTCCTATGATAAAGATTATCGAACTTGAATTTTTATCGGCAACTTCGAGCATCTTTAAAAAATGTCAAATAATGTCAAAATTCCTCATTTCTGGAGTTGACTACGTAACTATATGATAGTTGGCTCGAATCGATTACTTTTCCGTTTTTTGGAGTAGACTTCTACCCTCCTTACTTCTTTTGAACTTCTTCAGGATAATTAATAAGTGAAATGCTTACTTTTAAGTTTGATCTTGACGCAAAGTTTTCCAAGAGGTGGTAGCCTTATCTACAACCCAATGTGAGTAAAAAAGATAAGTACGGTTGAATTTCTTATCGAACTAAAAAGTGCCTTTGCTATAGCTGCTTTCAAAACACTATGTTTAATATATGATTCTATGATGTACATAACTTCCATCCAATTGGTTTGTATTTATTCGTACATCAAAAACATGTAAACTAATAGGTTACTCAATGAACTCTTACATAATTCATCAATAATTGCTTAAGTGGAAGATTATGTAGTTATACACACATATATTCTACATTTTCAACAACCAATCTCATCTACAGTTTTAAACTTGATTGTCAAAATAAGTCCTCAGATAGCCATAATAAACATTCAATAATAACATGTAAATGAACGACCTATCTAATAATTATAAACAAAACTTAAGTTGAATCCGCTATGAATTCGTGATTTAAATCATGAAAACTCTACAATTTCCACAAACCTCTCTATACCGATAGTAATTCCTAATCAGTTGTACATTAGAACGATTGTTTTACACATTAACTATTCTTATCATGTATCAACTTTCTAACTCTACAATAACCCACTAATTAATATATTATTGATTATAAATTAACAAGGACAATCCATTTTGTTTTATTCTATTTTCATGAAATTTCTCATCATTATTATCACTATTGATTGTTTTGTGATGTATAAGAAAAAAAAACCCAGTAAATTTTAGTGTTCTACTCTTTGAAATGAAAGGTTATAATCTTTTTTTCAATGTATACAGATTTTTCGTAATTCAATGTTCATCAAACAAATCAGTCATTAAATTTGATTGATAGTAAATTATATAAGACAACAAGACTTAAAATTACTACTGAATTATTTCAAATTAACATTTATAACTCAACTGTAAAACATTTTATACTTTATTTAATTTTCTATATGTTGAAGACTGAATATTCGTAATTTACTAGTTCAGTAATGCTAAGGTAAAAGTATTGCTACATTAATTTCAAGTGAAAAACCCTTCAGTGTTTTTGTTATGAAAATTCAGTTCTGACGTTTTTATTTTCATAGTACATTCTCGTGGAATTATCTGTAATACAAATTGTACTTGTGTATATACATTCATAGATACCTATTTACACTGCATCCAGTAATGTACGGGTTGTTTAATGTTTGTTTTACATAGGCAAACTTTAAATATTATATCAGAACTAAAGAAATAAAGTTAGCCCTATAATTATATAAACAATCTGTCTTTATGACCAGGCAAACGATTATACATATATGCACATGACAATTATCTTAGTTTAAGTCAACCACTTCGTCCACATGATAGCACTGACTGATTATTATAGTTTTCGTTAAATATCAACTCACTATGAATAATACCTAATGAACAAAGCTTCGAGTATTTTATCAATAAAAATGACTGCTTTGTTCAATATAATGAGTTTTGTGTAGTATGATATCATACCCAGCAGAGGGTAGTAATCTGAAAAATAACTCGTTGGCTTTTGGAGCAATGCCATCAAGTTTCTTGTATGCTGCAGCATTTCGTTGAGTGATTTTAAGTAAAATTAAGATTGATTTACGCCTCCTTTTTATCACTAAGGATCATTTACACTCGTAATAGGATCCCAGATAAGATCAGTATCGTTATAAAAGTAATCTTTTAATCAGGATGGAATGATCAAATCACTTCTACTTTCACAAAAATAGAGACCACGTAATCAAAATTGACAGAGAGTAGTTTTATCGAATTGTTCCATAAACCTGAAGATAAATGTAGTTCAAACAGTTGAGCACACCATACCAAACCGGGTATTGAAGTCATCAGTAGTATAAATGATAGGTATTCAATTCATTAAGCTTGACTATGTAGTCATAAGACTAAAAATGAGCTGATCAGAATATAAGTTTGTAAAGAGTACTGCTTTATAAACGTCCTTCTAATAACCTGAAACCGATAAGCCAATTCAACAATTTTCAAAACAAAAAAATTTGTACATACCTGGGTTGCGCGTAACCTTCTAGATGACTTAGAACTGTATTGAATAGATTGAAATACTTAAGGTCTAAAAGTTATGTACTAGAAAACCTCTGACCAAAGATAATACTATTGGTCTCGGGAGTTTATTCTCCACTCTGACTAAAAATAACATTCGAAATGACATTTTGGCCATTCTTATTATTTTCTTGATAAATATGACATGACAGTTAGAAAATAACTTAAATATTTTGATTAGTATCATAAGGGGTTTTTTTGAGATCGTAGTAATTTAAACAGTTGAGATCATGAGTCAATTGAAGCTAGACCACCATCTAAAACCTGGAAGCACTGGACGACCGTTTCGTCCTATTGTGGGACTCCTCAGCAGTGCGCATCCACGACCCCGCCTCTCGGGATTCGACAATGGTGGATATGTCGCTCAATTTCGTGGATTAGTTGAAGTTAGACATTAACACCGTTGGATGCCGGCTCAGTGGTCTAGTTGGTTAAGCGCCTGGTGCGAGACTGGTAGATCCTGGGTTCGAATCTCGCGGGGGACGGGATCGTGGATGCGCACTACCGAGGAGTCCCACAATAGGACGAAACGGCCGTCCAGCGCTTCCAGGTTTTAAATGGTGGTCTAGCTTCAATTGACTCATGATCTCAACTGTTTAAATTAAATATTTTGGATGTATATCACTAGGCTAGTCAGAATTTTTAATTATCCACTAAATAGTTAATGGTAATGGTAATGTTTTTGAAATATGTTTAATTTGAAAGTATATGGTATATTTTTTGAATAACAATAAAATGACTACTTTTCGTTTCATTTTCTTTTCTTTAATTCTGTAAACAATGACTTACAACCAGTCATTATTGGCCTACTTAACACCAGCACATCTGATGAATAAACAATTGACAATTTCAATTCATCTTTTTATATAAATGTTTAAACTGTTTTACCAAATCAACAAATGTTAAAGTATTCCGGCTAGTCAAGAATACCTTGTATATTTAGGATATTTATAGGACTATCAGTATTAATTTCATATTTTTAATTCATTTTTCACCTTCCTCATATTCGTCAAGTGCACACAATAGGCTGTATCTTATCATTTTTATTAAACTTCTTCATTGGTACATAGCCCTACTGTGATATTTGACCTATAAATAGGACTGTGCATCTTGAGTAAATAATATCATCGGAACGTAAAACATTTCCTTCACTGAATCATCTTTAACTTTTGTTCATTGAAATAGTGAGTTAATTTCATTATTTAAAATATTTCGATTTATTTAGCATTTAACAGTTTTCACCAATAAAATCCATTTTTTATTACTTGTGGATAGCAAAAAATTATCTTTTTTTCTCTTTGTTAAAGAAAATAGACTCTACAGGATATGATGGTGGAAGAAACTTTTATATGCTTAACCAATGTATAGACGATATAGAATGCTTCGAGAATCGTCTAGAGAAAGCGATCAAACGAAAGTCGTCTTACAACAGAAATAGTTCAGGTTAGTTTATTTGTCTTTTTTAGTTTATACAGGGTGTATATCTAATCATCCCAGTAATAGATAGAGTCCATTCTCTTTGTTCGAGTAAATCTTTTAAGTTCACTAAATACGGCGAATCTGGGATTGATACTTTAGTCTATTCCTTCATCTTATTTCAGATAGTCATAATTAAAATGATACAGTTTATTGTCAAATTAGTAAAACTGAAATTTAATTTGATTCTAGTTTCATAAGTTTGAGCAGGACAAGAAGAAAACGAATCCGTTTTTTTCATGACTTTTCATCAAATTCTAAACATATTAAGATTAACGTAGTAACTAGGACTTGCACTTCAGTAAGTGATTTATTTGAATAATTTGTAGGAAAGTAAGGTCGAAAATGGCTACGACGTAATAGAAAACAATGAAATTCACGACGTCTTCATAAATTTATCAATAGCTGAGTTTTTTCATTCATTGACTTAATAATACAGATATATTATCTACGGGGTTTTCTTAGGTTAGATTATTTTGATTTGTATATACTTACCATCGTTCTACACTTGTGATGGTTGCCCACCCACTAAAACACTATAGATAATAGTCGTCTTTTTTAACATTATCAGTTGAACTACATCAGTGTAAACAACTTATGAAATATTGTTCGGGCTACTGAAAAATGTAAAACACTAGTGAATTAATGATCGTATTAAATGAAATTCTTAGTACTGCCAAAAAAGTATGCCTTTTGATGTCTTCCAAAAACTGTTCGTCGCTGTTAAAGTTTCTAAAAAACATAGAACTGTTTTAAGTCATTTTGCTCATTAACGATAGTTAGAATTCTTTAACCATGACTTAATATTAATCTTGTTATACCTTTTATCCTTTACTAATCTCAATTGCATCCTAGTTTCCTTCTTACTTTCTAACTGGAGTTAATCCTTCTGTTTTAATATCGCCCCTAGAATACACTTTGGATCATATTAAAATCTTATATATAACGTTTAATTAGGTGTGAAATCGGAATGAAATTTTCCCCATGGTGATTCTATTAGCATATTTTCTTCAACGTTCTAGCTCTATTCTTCCCTTTCCATGATCTAGTATATGGCTCATCAAAAGTTGAACTAATTACAGTACCGTTCTGGAGATTCTATCCCGTTCATCACCCATTCGGCTACTAATATACCAACTAAGTTATTTCTCACCCTGGTTCTTTTTAATTCATAGGAGACAAGGGCAGAAATTTGATTTCAAATATTTTTGTGTCTTTCTAAACTGTTTATTGTCAAATTACTACCAGACAAATTTTTTTCACAAGGTATTACCATAGCGTTACCTGGATAAAACTCATATGGTCATAAGTGTTTGATCCAATTGACTCTCAATAAAAGGGTGAAGTAAGCTGCTGATTATGACCTACCAGATGTACATAATACTCTAAAAGCCTTAATTAGGTGCTGTACCCTTCGGTTGTAAATACTAGATACTTAGAACAAATAAAATCTATCAAGAAATATTTTAAGATTGTCTCTTTTACGATATATTGTTGTTAAAAAATACCACTAAATACTCTTCTTAAACTTTTATTGTATTATGATCATAAAAACCAAAGTGTGTTCAGATTATAAAGACATCTTTGTAAAATCATTGCTGAATTTATATTAAAAGGATTGGGAAAAACTCTTATTTTTATTTATATACACGGTTAAATCCATAAATAATATGTAAGCTTCACTACAGCAAACTACAAATGTACATACTGATACTATCAATATAATATGACATTCACAGCTTCGTATTTTAAAAAAAATGCTAGGGTTTTATATTCTTTTTTGTCACCGCTTTAACTATAAATCACTCAGGAACTTTGAATATCTTCAGGTTCATCATTAAGCTAAATAGGATCATATGTGCTACATTGGACAATAAATTCCACTAACTATGTTAATTAAATAAAACACACATCATTTAAAAGTGGCTATTGTTCATCGTGGATATTTATGCCCTACTGGAGGATTATCTAAATGATTATTAATGATAATAATAATAATCAAAAATGATAAATTCCTCTTACGAAACTTGTTTATTAATCTGCTAATATAAATTGATTTGTCAGTAGATTGTATGAAACACTATGATACGTTCTCTTAAGTGTAACCGTTAACAAAAAATTTCACTTTGAAATAAAACTACAAATATTCACACTAATTTTTATTGTTTCCCTAATGATTTACATTCTATTTAACTATCAATGAATTGTGAAAGTTAATAAAAGTCACATGGTTTAAACTATTTTATTGCATAAAAGTATATGATAAAATAATAACAGTCAATACAACAGTCGATATATCAAAACCTTTTTATTCATTAAAATAATATGACTAATTTTTGTTGTATAGAAGTTGAAAATGAAATTTGACAATCAGTGCTAGAAACGCATTAATGATTTTAATAATTGACTTATTATCAACTAGTTAATGTTTCATTTTCTTATACTAATGAACATCTTTTTTCTATTATAGTAATAATTCCAGTTTGTTAAAATGTAATATTGCTTTGTCAACAGTTGTTTAGTCATTCTAATACTTTTAATAAAGTCATCAAAAGATAAGGGTATTTCGCTCTTTCAAATAAATGCTTCCGTATCTTACTCAAAAATTTCACTTCAAATAACCACTATTATTGTACAAAAGTCAACTGAACGTCACAGTAGTTTTAATGCTGATGAAAAACTTATTCCAACTTGTAAACACACAGCTTAGATATCTTGGTTGACAGCCTTAGATTGTTTTATAAATTATTTTTGGGTAAATTTTGTATAAAATACAGCTAGCGGTGTCAGTTACACATAACCGGAAATATATGTACATTAATATAACATTAATATATCTACATTACTTTTTCATACAGTTATATATCTAGGATTTTTAAGATTCTCTGAATCAGATAGGGAACAAGAGTTTCAAGAAAGTATGAAGATAATACAAGAAGATAATTTTATAGCTAAAAGATTCTATAGTTTGAATTTTCCTCAGAATATGATAAAATCTCACAGTCGATTTTCAATGTAATGGTCGTGTAGTCTTTGACAGGACAGATTATTTAGCAATATATATTGTGGTTTCTCCATGAAGTTGTAGTCTAACTGTTTTATATAACATGATTAAGTATATTTATGTGTTGTTTTTATCTTTATCCACTGCGTCTTAACGATATTTTTCATTGATTTCATGATATTTTTGTCATGTCTAGTCCCATTTTATTGAGTAATCAATGTGGTCACAATGAAAACAGCTAGTGGTTATCTTATTTGTAAATATTTCCACGTCATCATAACGCTGTTTAATTAGTAATATAGTCTAAACTATACATGTAGTCAGCAGCTTTGCTTTTTTAGATAAATATTTCTTAACAGCCTATCAATTCGATGGGCCTCAAACTGAAAGAGAAAAACGAATATTGCGTTTTTCATATTCTCGCTATTCATAAAACATACTCGATTTAAGCTATTACTATCGGTGTTAGGACTCAGTTTATCGCAACCATCTTGTCAAAACCAAAATTATTAAGTGAGCTGTTTTATGTATGATAATCATCAAGCAAAATATTCACACTTTTGTCTAGATTTTAAATTTTAATATTACATTTGTTATTTCTCTACATCATTACGTTATAAATAATTAGGATGATTCTATTTATCTGACAATTTACTACTAAGATTTGTTTGATAGTAATTGTTTTCATAAAATGATGTCATCTAGTGAACCATTGAAGACTAGATGACACTAGGTAGCAGAGCTTACAACAAATTATAACTGTAGAACACTTAAGTCCACATTTCCAAAGCCAGTCATTTCACAAAATAATACTTCGTTATTCCAATATTCACTATATTTCTGTTTACAATGTTGAACTCTACTGATCTTAGAGCTGATCAATGTCACGGTCATTACTGTCCACTGATGAGGACTGCCAAACTACAGTAAAACAAACGAAAATTGTTGCTTGGTTTTTCAGTCGCCTACATACTGATATCACTATAACATTAAGTCAAATCGTTTTACCAAAAACCTATATCTTAACGAAAATTGTTTTGTTTTACTTTTCACTGTTGTTACAGTTACATAATAGTCAGTAAAATAGTAGTCTGTACAATTTTGACCCTTGTTGTTTATTATTCGAGTTATATGTTTATTAAATGTAATTTAATATTTTACTATTTGAACTTATCTCTTACATTTTGTCATAATTATAAATAAAATTCAATACCTTCAACGATTATGACAAATATGGAAATAAATAATGGGGGTTTAAAACAATTAGTCTCTTTGATAAATTTCTATCATGCAATGAGAAAACGAAGTTTATGTGATATATTTGCGCAATACATTTCGAACAATTTGATCACACATATACTTGTTAAGAACATTTATATATGAAAATGAAAAGGTCCACTAGACAGGTTAAAGGTAAGTCATAACAAAGAAAGAATAATAATGATAATAAAGTACACAAAACAAATGTGATGACCACTTTGGATAATAAATCAGCATTACCAGGGTAGGTTAAGTGTAAGGACAAACTGTTTTTGAACACATAAAGGGGGGTTTCAATTTCCGTATAGCCAAGGCTTCAATAAACCTCAGTATACATCCTTGAAGGCTTTTGTATAACACTACAAATGCTGATTTGATGTCAACCTTATAATGATGGATAATTCAGTAAAACCATCAATTTTTACACCAGATCCATATGTTTACATCAAAATGTTAATAATTATAAAATATCTATATGAATTTAGTTCTTTTTTATTCAATCATTTATTTAAGCTAAACTGTATAATACCAACAATAAGGTATCCTGGTATTAACTCAATTGATATATATATATATATATTCCCTTCATAATTTTAATATTAAAAGTAAAAAATAAAAAAAAGTTTACAATAAAATTCAAAAATAATTTCATTTCATAATAACTCATAATAATTTAATAGTAAAAATGTTATTAGAACAACAT